GAGCCGTGGGTTAGTGGTCTCGTGGTGTGTCCAGCGTCCAGGGGGGTGTACGGCTCGCATTCACAGACTAAACCAGTGACAGCTCAAGTGTTTTCACACAGTCAACCCTAGATTTCAGCATTGCTTTTTTTAAAAAAAAAAATGGATTTGTCTTTCCAGTGAACCAAGTTTCTTGGACTTCTGGATTTGGACCCACTCGCGCACCCCCAAGTCCCTGTCCCTTCAGTGGGGCTCTCAGTGATTCAGCAGGAGCTCTGCAATGGAAAAACCATGTGAAGACAGTGTTAGCCATCAGGACGAGATGTGTGCCCCCCTCCAACGTGTCACTTTAAAGCCAGGCAGGCCTTCGGGGCAGACACTGGGCAAAGCTGAGAGCCGGGCAGACGACACGAATAATGTCCACGTGCGGCAGGGCGGGAGGGGACGCCAGGGCCACCTCCTGTGTCAGCCACGCTGTGTACCCCCGCCACCCCCCGACCGAGCCTCCTGTGAGCTGGCATCCCTGGGGGAGAATTTGTCTGAGAAAATTCACTATTGAGTGAACCAGTCCGCCAAACTTGTAAAAACTAGGATGTGGAAATGTCACAGTTAACACTCCGCAAGAGTGCCGCGCTTAACACCCGTCCGAGGGGCGGAGATGCAAACCCAAACCCAAGAAAGTCACACCACGTGAGGTGCAGGCGGGGTCCTTTACTAAGCTAGTCGGTCAAGAGAATCCCAAGAGACGCGAACCAGGCTTGTGCAGAGGGCACGGCGTCTCGCTGCTCTGGCTGGCGGGGAGCCCGGACGCGGGCGGCAGGTCTCAGCTGCAGCCTGCGCGCGGCTAGCCGCTGACACTTGTCTAGACTGAGCCACTTACTGACTTCTAAACAACCTTATTTCTATTTAATAATGAAGGATTTGTGATTACTTACAATTTCAGACACTGGGATTTGGTACAGTTACATGGCTTTTTAGACTTTGTGTCCCATGAACTAAGAGTTACTCTATAAAGATTAAAAAAGAAAATATTCAGATCGTTACTCTTTAAAAGGAGGATTAGCTAAGCATCTGGTGTTTCTGAACAAATACTGAAAAGCTCAGCACCATGTAGTTATAGGTATTATTTACCGGTGCCTGATCATGAAAGGGAAGAGGCGTGCCTATTACAATATGATGGAACGAGCCTGGGCCAATCCCAGCCTGTGTGCCCGCAGATCCCGCAGGGGGTGCAGAGCAGGACCCAGTGGCTGTCCCCTCCCCAGGAAGCCTTCTGGACGTTCTTCCCTTGATCTGTTTAAACCCCTGTTGTGTGGGGACCCTCACACCAAATAGCTCCTTTGTTTCAACTTTTTTGTATTTTCCCAAATCTGAACACTAACGGTTAGTATAACTTAAAAAATAGGCAAATCATCATTTTATATTGTTAGAGCCATCCACACTGCAGAGCTACCAGCAATATAAAGCAAGTTTCCAGTAGAGACCTTCCTCCTAACTGCTCTTGGGGATTAGCCCAGAGCCATCGTGAGGGGCATCAGAAGAAGAGAGGCAAACGAGTCGTGGATGCTAAACATGAGGGGCAGCTGTGGATTAAAACTCGGGGAAAGATCCCGAGCACTGCTTTCCAATGCTGCTCACGGAGGGAACCCCGAGCCCTGGTTCTGTGAGACGTTTACTACGCTACTGAAAGGAGGGGCAGGTGCAAAAAGACCGCGCCGGTGGCAGGGCTCTGGTGGGTCGCAGGGACGCCGCTTGGTCTGGGGCTTCCTACAGAAACCGCGGGGTACTTGGCACACAGGTAACCTTTGCCAACAGTCTCCTGTCGCCACCCAGAGTGCGGAAGCACTCCTGCCACCCGTCCCATGGTTCTAACAGATACAAACGCCCCGAAGACCCTAGGCGAGCCCCTTGCCTGGACTCTGCACACTCACACACTCAGCTACCTGGAGTCCGGACTGGGGGCATCGTAAGTCCTAGCTCAGCCCCTCGTTCTCTGTGCCCTGCCGTGGGTTCCTCCTGCGCGGGCAAGCTAGCCTCACCGTCTAGGCTTCTGTTTAGCGACACCCCTCCCTGCACACACACACTCGGTACCCGACTCACAGACGAGCTGCTAACTCTTAACTTCTGGAGATTCTCCCGTTTTTAAGACAATGTCCTCAAACTATGTCACTGAATGCTGTATTAATTTATGATTCATCTAGTTTACTTTTCTCCTTTGAACCTAGCGGAGTGACAGCTTTCTGTCCCCACGGGTGCCCAGAGGTGGCAGATCCGGCCCGTGCGCCTTGGAGCAGACATGGGCTTTCAGAGGAGTGCGTGTGGACACCTACTTCACTGCTCTTGTTCTCAGACTCTCAGACCTCCCCCCACAACGGGGCACAGGGTGGCCTGGCACTGACTGTCCAGAGGAACCAAAAACCTTTCCTTTAAAAAATGGGGTGGGGGCGCATGGAGACATTCCAGGGGTGACCTGCCATGATTGTGGGAGGACAGGGTACAGTTCAATGAATGTCCTGTATCAGGAAGATACCAATAGGCATTTCCTGAGAGATCATCAAGTGGTCAGGACTGTGATAAGAGCTTCAGGGGAAAACCAAAAAATATATGTGTAAAAATTTATAGTGCCAGTCCTGGAGGAATCCAGCAAATAATTTGGGACATGAGATATTATGTATATATATGATTGAAAAATTGCAGGATAGAAGATATTGTATAATCACAGCTGTCAAATTATTTGATACTGATTGGCAATGATATAAAATTCAGAAACGGTAGTTGAATATAGATGGAAGAAGTTCGAAGGAGCTATAACTCGACACCACCTGTTAGGGCTGTTGAGACTTGCTATCCGCCACAACGGGGTTTCAGTTGAGGTAGCGGCAGGAGCAAAAGTGCCGTAGGGGCAGGACCTAAACCCGCGAAAATCCCACAGCTCTGAGGACACCTGTCCACCCTCATGCCAATCTGAAAATTAAGGAGTCAGGAGAGATCCACACAATTCCGCCTCAGAAAAGCATGAGAAATAAACTGCACCACACGAGATATGGCCTCATCTTTATGAAAAAAAATTTTCAGAGAAGCAGACTCTTGAATGTTCTTTATTATAACGTTCATTACGTCACCAAAAGTAATAGGATCCACGATAAATCAGAATTCACATTAACGCCTGACTGACGACAAGATGACGAAAGCCATGCAGAGTGACAGGACATTAATTTTTACTAAAAGGGCATTTTTATTAATATAATAAGCCAGTTAATAAGTTAGCCGGTTCACCACCCAACTGTGAAGAGCGATGATGGGGTGAACGCACCCCTGAAGACTGCTGACCAGGAGGTCCCAGCTGACCTGCTTCTACGTCACACGCTAGGTTAGAAACGTTCGAGCCGTAACGGGCCGACAGAGCTTCCTTTCTGATGTCTTCGGACCTAATCTGACCTTGTTATCTTGTGGAAGTCAAAAAGAAACCTAATGAAGCATCTAAAGAGGTGAGGAGGTATAGCAAACTAGTCGCAGTTGGGAGCTCATACAGGATGAAGCAACAGCAAACGTGTTTCTGCATGCTCCCTTACCACGAATCCTAAATTGGTAGAGATTCCCGTTTACCATTAGTACTGTGGATGTTGAGATAAAAATCATCAGGGCTGATTCAGAGGAGTGACATCAAATCAAGCAATTCTTTGCAGCAAAAAACCACAAACACAAAGCTCCCATTGTTCCTGGCACAGCATTTATAAGAGAAAAATATTTTATGACCTGCACAGTTACATCAAAATAAAGAAAAACATGTGACTGAGAAAACCAAGTAGAGTCTGGGGACAAGCCGGGAAGCTCCCTCCTGCTGCCCCCCGCCCTGAGAACGTGGATCAGCCATGCCACAAAGAAGCCTCGGGCTGCACCGTGACTAGATCTAGAAGTGGCTTATGTGGCTTCTGTTCTGTCCAGAAGTGGCAAGAGCCATGATGATAGGACTGAGTATAGTACCAGTGACCACACACCCTCCCTGATCCATCCCCAAGAGAGTGAAGCAAGGAGGATGGCTTCACACAACCCGATCCCATTAAATGAACTGAAAGTGCCTGCCGAGGCACCGGGCGACAACCACCGACAGACAAATCACAGCACCAGAGAACCACGCGAGCCACTGACACGCTCCGATGGCAATGCAGAGAGGAAGGCATCGATCTCTGCCAAGGGGTTCGCTTGGCCTTTCTTGCAGCCCCCAGACAGCCCTCCTCCCACTCACCAACGCCACCACCAGCACTGCAGGGGCCCGGAGAGCACCAGAGCTCACAGTGGACAGTTCACAAACTGCCTGACCTGATGGGGATGTCTGACCACATTAGACTGTGTGCCCCACACTTACAGAGGCAGAAACGGACTGATCTCCGTAACCAACTCAAGGGCTCCACGAGCGGAAAGGGCTGCCCCGTCCACTGTTAGCACATGAATGTTAACTCAACGAGGAGTTCCAACCAGCTTGGTTAGTTTAATTAGTTACAATCATAGACGTGACTGTCAAATGGCAAGACAAGGCCCCCGCTAAGTGCAGCCCATGTCCACGTGGAGACCGTGAGCCTCGGCACCTGCCTCCAACCACGGGCTGACCCAGCAGGGGTGCTGAGGCAGGCAGAGGCGGCCCAGAAAGGCACACTAAGACCGTCGTCAATGTTAAGTGCCCGCCGCACTGTTACTTATGTTGGTGACCACGAGAAAGAGATAGAGCATCTCAGTTTATCTCAGTTTAAACTGATGTGAGACCAAGACAGAGCTCTGGATGGCAGTGGGCCCCTGAAACACCGACACGGGACAGCAGACGAGGAAGCCTTTCCAGCAACAAACCAGACATGCACAGTGACACGGCGGCTGCCACTGCTTAATGTAAAATATAGCTTTTAGAGGTCACGAAGGTCTACAGGTAAAGCTGATTTTATAACCTAGCATAAAACCACCAAAGTATCCCCAAAGCCTCTTAAATACTTCTATAAAGTAAGTGACAACTGATTGCTTCCAATCCTTACCCAGCCAAAGTTATTTTTGGTGGTCCTGGAAGAACGGATCCCGAAGGGAAAGCAGACCCGTTGACTAGGGATGGGAAGGCTCCACTTTCAAGCTGTAGAAAGTCAAAGACAAGCATATTTTGAATTAGAACATGTTTCAAAAGTTCCATCCAGTCAACCCCTAGGTCCAGACAAAAACGACTGGTTTTCTTCTGGAGGTTTAGGTCACAATGGCTTTACGTCAGGCCCCGCCACCATGACGGGTCTCCTCACCCCGGAGTGGGCTCCGGCCCAGGCTTCTCCGCAGCAGTGGGGGCGCTCAGCCCATTGTGTCCCAGACCCGCACGGCCACGCGTGCCCAGGGGGGGAAAGCCCTGCCCGTGTGGACTGGGGGCAGGAGGGTAAGGACGCAGGGCTCGGCCAGCCACATAGCTGTTGGGCACTGGTCGCAGACCCTGGAACAGACAGCTTTTTCATTTTTATGACTATAAATTGCGAATTAAATTCAGTCACAAACTTCTGTACTCTGAAACTGTTCTTTAATTATGATGACATTCTTGGTATAAGAGCCCTGGACATCTGATGTCTCGTCAACCATTAGTGTCTCATCTCGTCAAAAAAAAAAAAAAAATCTGTAGTCAGTTTCAACAAATCCAAAAGCCATGTCACAACCTCTGCCCCCTCCGTGTCCTTTGCTTTCCTGGCTCTTATTTATCTTTCTTTCTATTACTCGGTAGCATGGTTCACAGACGATATTCCCAGGAAAAGGAAAGGGTAGCAAAGTCAGCAATGACCTTATTTTCTCCTTATGCGAAACTTGAAGAAATGTAAAGTATTGCATAAATTTAGGTTTCGAGATGATTTGTATATATCACGCTTCAATACCCTATCCTTGCCCCTTCCTCCCCTGAACACTTGAAATTTAAAAGTAAGCTTTATATAGAAAGTACAGTCTTGGGGGATGCCTGGCCTGCTCAGTCGGAAGAGCATGTGACTCTTAATCTCAGGGTTGTGAGTTTGAGCCCGAGGTTGGGTGTAGAGATTTCTTAAATAAGTAAAACTTAAAAAAAAAAAAAAAAAAAAGTACAGTCTTGGGAAAACAAACATTTTATTCATTCTATTCATTTTCTCTCTTCTGCCTCTTATTAAATTGTGTGTCATCACTGCCTGTGGGGCTTGAAGACCCTAAGAAGCCACCCTGGGTCCACGCCCTTGAGCACAAAGCCCTGTCCCTCCAGGGAGCCTCACCCCAGGAGCCCCGCTCTTCCGTCTGGGGCTCTGCCCTCCTCACTCAATTTACAGGAGGGACGTGTTCACAAGTTCCTGAAACCGTCTCTTTCCTGCCACCCAGACACCTGTCAGGCACATGTCCCCAGTGGTGGTCCAAAGTTTGACATTCTTTTGGAGAAAGGATTTCACAGTTCTCAGGATTGAGGCAATCCTTCGCATAAACCGGGGTACAATTTCTCCTTCCCCCTTTGCTTATTTAGCCCCAAAGTAAAGCAGAGAAAAAGAGATGGCTTCAGTACGGCATAGGTAGTTAATCTAGAGCCGCTTTATGCTGGAACCCATGACCTTCTTCAGCAAAGGCTGACCACATAGGAGCAAAGACGTAAACTCTCAGGCAGTCTTCTCAGTCACATCACCTGGGATCTTGCTAAAACGCAGACTCTGGATCAGTGAGTCTGGGGCAGGGCCTGAGGTCCTGCATTTCTGTCAAGTTCCCAGATGATGCCCAGGCTCCTAGTCCATGCACCACACTGTGAGTAGAAAAGTGCTTAAAAAATATGCAGAATTTGGGGGCGCCTGGCTAGCTCAGCCAGGGGAGCATGCGACTCTTGATCTCATGGTTGTGAGTTCAAGTCCACGTTGGGTGTAGAGAATACTTAAAATCTCCCCTTTAAACATATTTATACAGAATTGGGAGTTTGGCAAGGAAGCAGCGAGCGCATGGCTGAGGGGATTGCCTCAAGGTCCACACGGGGTAAGAAGTCAGGGGCAGCCAACTTGGGGATAAGAATAACACAGCCAAGAAAAAAATGGGGAGGAGGCAGAGAGAAAGGAGGTGGTGGTCCAAAGGGGCACTTCTAGTGCGCAGCCTGAGCAGTAGGAGAGCAAGTCCAACGTGTGCCTTCCCGGCGGGGGCTGACCCAGTGGGGAAAGGCCGGCCGGAGGAGTGGAGGCAGCCAGGAGGCCGGAGGCTCGTGTGCAGGATCCATGAGACTCGGCCTCAGGCGCTCCCGGGACCACAGCTCAGGAGCTCCTGCGCGATCAATAGTCTCTACACCTCCGGGCTAACAGATCACTTGAGAAATACTTATTTACTCACTCGACCGAACGTCTGTTTAGACCCGCTGCCTCACCCGTCTCCTCTGGCCTCAAGGCCTTAAGCGCCATCTACACCCTGGTGACTTCGGCCGTCCAGCCCAGACCTTCCTCACAGCGACCTCCAGGCCCGCGTACCTCGTCGCTCGGCTGCCTCAAACGACTAGGGAGCTAACTCCTGGTCTGCCTCACAAAACGTGCACCGCCCCAGCTCTCTTGATGGAAACGTCAGCTTTCCACTTGTTCTGGCCGAAAACCGTGGGGCATCCCACACGCGGCCCGTCGTAAGCCATGTCGTCAGCCTGCAGGGGATCCGGACAAGCCGTTTCTGCCCCGCCCGCCCCCCACGAGCCCTGCCCGGTCTGAGCCGCCATCTCTCCCCTGGCGCCATGGGCGGCGTCCCCAGCGCCCACCTGGCCCCCTCCCTCCCCAGCCCTGCGCTTCCTCCTCCCCCATCCCCTCTGCTACCTTCCTCTCGCTCACTCCGCCCCCTCCCTGCTGGCCTCCTTGCTGTCTCGACAGCAGGCTGACCCTGTGTTGAGCCGTTCTGCTTGCCTGGCATGATCCTCCATGTGGTAGGCACACAGCTCACCCTCTCGAGATTTGCCTGTCACCTCCTCAGTGGAGCCAACTGTGACTGGCATCCTGCCTTCCTCCCCACGGAGCCTCTGTACCCCATGCCCATCCTCTGCTCTCCTAGCATACAACATAGTTTATCTACTAGATTTGCCTGTATTGTCTGTCTCCCACACTGAAATGCAAGCTGCAGGGGGCAGAGTCACATGTTTCCTTCTGCTTTTGTTTGGGGGCATCACCGATGTGGTCCAAGCGCTCAGACCAGCGCCGGCCCTACTGAATGAAAGTCACTCCGTGTGACTGTCCCATACGTGCCAGGCTTCATTCCAGCTCTCAGTTTACAGAGACAAACTAGACTCACAAGATCTCTACTCCTGTGGACCTGGCATACCTGTGGGTAGACACAGACAAACGAACAAACCAAAAGACGCAAGACCATGACAGTACTGGGCAGAGAATCAGACAGGTGCCGTGACAGTGACTGTCAACCCCAGGGAGTCATGAAAGGCTCTTCTGGGGCAGTGGCATTTTATATCAAGACTTAGGGAAAAGAACACATTTGTCTTATATTTAGTCTATGCATATTATGGTGCAATCATAACAGCATTTTAAACTCTAAAAAAGCATTTCCATTCCACCGAGGAAGGTGAGGAATGTTCTACACCAAATGAGTGGTGTGTCCTGGTGGATGGACAGCAGGGCCACAAAGGACAAGTTCAGCAAATGGGGCAGAAGGAGGGTCCGGAGGCTGTAGGAGAGGGCAAGCAAGACAGCCCCACAGGGCTGGCCCAGAACTGTCTTGAACCCATGCCATTCCCTCCCAACCCCGTGTCTGACACAGCGGTGGAGGTACCAAGTACTTATGAAGGTTCCACTGTTGATTTGAAAAAAAAAAAAAAAGAGAGAGGATAAATTATGTTTCCTGAGTAATCCCAACTTCGACAATTGAAATTTTAAGAGAAAATAGTGCCCAAGTGCATTTTTTTTTATTAAAACAATGACTCACTTGTTGTGTAATGAGATTTAATTTTGCTGGTACTGGCAAAAATCTTCCTACTAAAGTAGTCATTGGTTTAGGGACATCTGTAAGGAAGACAATTAAAATTAATTGATAACATATATTGTTTCTTTTCTACTTGCACATGGACAAAGTACAAAAATGATCATGTATCATGGATTTATCATGTGCAAAATCATTTAAACTTATCTTGATCCTATTTGTTTTTTTATTCTGTAAAACCTTTTGACTCAATGTATTATTATTATTTTTTAATTATTATGCCCTTTTTCTTGGTCCTAAATCTGCTTAACTTAAGCTTCCAGGGATAGTCTACTATACTGTAAACAAAACAAAATGAAACAAAACTGTTGCTAGTGCCCACGTTCCCAAGCTGCAGCTATGTGCCAAGGTGCCTTCAGGTGCCACAGCAAACTCACCAGGGAGTCTCTGGATATGTCGCACGTTCAAGGAAAGCACATCTGTGTCCAACATCTGTTGGACACCACATGAACTACTTTCAATTTATGTGTATTCTTTTTTCCAAATAGTTACTAACTTGCTAGGATTCAAATACTTATTAGGCTGTTTGGACCAAACTATTTAACTACTGGAATTGATCGGTATTTCTTTGGTCTAAGGGTGCTGTGAAAAACATTCCTGAGACACCAGAGGTCCTGCAAACCTCAGTGATCATAAGTAAAGGCAGAGGGAGAAATGTGTCTTAGTGTCTTGAATCTCCGACCAGCTAAACACATTTCCTGCTCCGGGTTTATGCATCCTTTGAGTGATGTTACCTTGAGTCTTTGGTAACAGGATGCATTCTCTTATGCTGGTATTTCACATGTACATGGTGAGGGGGTTATGAATATATGACAAGGAAGTAGATTTGGAGAACATTATATAAACCCTTTCCTTTCGTGGACCTAAAGGCATTAGGATTTTGTCATGTTCCAGAAGGAAGGGAATTAGGAAAGAAGCCCTCTTTCCTAATTCCTAATGCTTGTGCAGAGGATCAGACACCACTCTGACTTACAGGAAATGGAGCCAGATGATCCGTGGTGGGTATGGACAAAGGGCTTCTGGAAGACAGAACTCCAGCCCCAATTCCGTATCACAGAAAAGCAAATGTCTTAAAGGCATTTTATCTGTTCCTAAATAAAGAAACTATCAGGATGGATACAATATTTACAATATTTCTTTTAGCCCTGAACTCTGAAGTACCACTGAAATGACATCTGTATTTAATACTGATTTAAATTATTGGCAATAATAATATTGTATCAACTTTGTGTAGCAACAGATGGTAACTAGACTTACTATGTTGATCAGTTCCCAATGTATACAAACCTCAAATCACTGTTCTACAAATGAAACTAATATAATGTGGTAGATTAATTATACTTCAACAACAAAAAAATAAAACAAAAATAAATCATTGGCAAGTTCAGCAAAACATGATAATTAAAATATTCTGATTAACTCAAGATTTAGAATAACATGATTATGTATATAATCCACATAGAGATGTCTAGTTTTTAAGAATTAGGGTCTAGGGCGCCTGGGTGGCTCAGTTAGTTAAGCGACTGCCTTCAGCTCAGGTCAGGATCCTGGAGTCCTGGGATCGAGTCCCACATTGGGCTCCCTGCTCAGTGGGGAGTCTGCTTCTCCCTCTGACCCTCCCCCCTCTCATGCTCTCTCTCTCTCTCATTCTCTCTCTCAAATAAATAAATAAATAAAATCTTTAAAAAAAAAGAATTAGGGTCTAACTTTTGTAAACTCAATCCTAAAAGTATGTCATTATTCTATCTTTAATCATTTGTAAGTAATTTGAGGATAATTAAGTACTTATAGGTCATTTATTATTATTATGCCAGTTTAAAGATGTTTCTGAGATCATGTATCATGAGAGAATGGAAGAGAAAAATCAGCATTTGATATATTTCAAAACTCATGTTGAGTAAAGCATAGTCATGGTTCTCACTGATTACATGAAAATGCTTCCGTTAAAATGTATATAGTCTAAACGACACCTGAACCGTCAACCCCCTACCCAATCCGGGAAAGGCTGATGTTTCAACCCAGCCCCCTCTCGGCACATCCACTTGCTGGTTAACAGCAATGGCCTGTTCGGATCACAAGCTCTCTGCAGCTAGCCCAAGTAGAGGATAAATATCCAAAAACACAATGTACGTAAGTTAGTCTATAAAGATTTTTGTTTCTATTCTTAGTTCACTCATAAGGGCTAAGAGGCTTGCCAAATTGCCTATTTAATAACCTAACTCTATATACAAAGCCAAACATATTCACTTACCAACTTACATATATGACATAATTTTTTTTATTATTGTACTCTGTACCTGACTGTAGATAATTATTTTGGTCTTGATACTGAGGAACCAAATGAAGTGCTTTTAGTTCTCTTGTGCCAGAATTGTCTATACACAGCATTTGTGTACCCCCTTTCAACTGACATATCACCTAAAATGAAAAATAATGATCAGATTTCATTTTTAAAAGATATCCAGTAATATGAACCTAAATCAACTTAAATCTGAGAAAGTAACTTTAATCCAGAATTTAAGTTTTAATGGAAAATGGCAAGCTAAAGATCTGTTCTTGATTTCTTACGCTACAATAACATGCTCTCTGGAGGTACCACAGGGCAAAAATCCCTCAGTGTTTTGTGAGATGTGTTCAGTGTGTGAATGTGAGTTCCTGCTCATGCCTTCCTCTACAGGTGTCTGCCCATGGAGGTTTAGGGTAAGGATCAGGTGACTATGCACTGAGCTTCCTTCCCCATCCTTATACTCCACTGCCTGCATGAATGAAGAGTGTGGTGATCTGCCCAACCCCAGCCCCATTCGATCCAGTTAACTGTAAGGAAGACTTCATCCCCGACTTCATCTCTGGAGCTGATCACATACTTGGAATAATCTTATATTTTATGAGTTATTCTATCCTGCTACACACACATACTATTATTTTACATGTGGGTTTTTTTTAAATGTCCATTTATTTTATTTCCTACAAGTACAGTTCAGAAAGGTTAATCCAAGAACTAGAAGGTTCTAAGAAGCCATGTCAGTCTTCTTGGGCCTGACTGGCAATCTCAGATCACCTCGTTCATTCTGACCATAAATGAGTCCTCAGTGAGCCAGGTGAGTCTGTCGGTCAAAGACACAAGTCAGGCGAGGCACAGATGGACGGAGCCCCTCACTGGCTGCAGTCCCATCCAAGGCAGTGCAGCGTGAATATAAAGGCAAGAAAAATCATGGTTTCTGCCCACACATAGCTTTTAATTCCGATGGTAAAACCACAGATACCCAAAGAAGCTGTGGTTTCTGACTTTAGGTTGCCTTTGGGTTTCCCAGACAGGAAACCCCAAATAAGCACAAAGGATCGATGTTAGCAGAGTAACACCTGTAGAGCCTATGTTAACAAAGTGCTGATCACTGGATCAAACCTTTACATCAGCCCAACATTGGATAAGAGGCCAGTATTCATGTTTGGTTGGAATTTTATTTGTATTCAGAGGACAAAGTTAGAGCCACACACACACACACACACACATATACACACACAGGTGCACAAAATGGATAAAGAGTGGATTCTCCTGGGCTCTGCCGTGCCTCCCCCACCCCCCCACGAGGACCTCGTGCATGCTCCTCAGTAGTCTGGTGTAACTAGAAGAGTTCCTACCCTGTTCACCTGGTCCAGGCATCCTGGACAAGCTCTGCTCTCAGAACCCACACCCCTGAGCAGAACCACAGACAGACAGGCAGGTACTGATATATGCCATAGCTAAGCCAGAGTTCATGATGAGCTCATTTTCAAGTTATTTCCTAGTTAAAGTATGTGCCTCAGAGCTTAGGCCACCTTTCTTGGAATAAAGAGCTGCCAGGGAAAAGGCAGTCTCTGATTCTTTGGACTATTTGCTGGAAGAACAGTTGGCGCCCGACTCTCTGGCTCTTCTCCTTCCCAGTCCTCACCACACTCAGACCTGGAGTCCCAGATGCACAACTTACAAGCAGACCATGTAACATCTCTCTTTTCTCATGCATGAAATGTAGATAAAAATATGTCTAGCCTACAGCATTGACAGGAGGATTAAATGAAAGTACAAACATGTCAAATTATCACAAGAACCACACATGTTACGGACTATGTCATGCAAGTGTCACTTGGTATTATTAGGAATTTGGAAGTATTAGGTATTTGAATTTGGTATTATTAGGAAGGGAAAGAGCCAGAGAAGCAGAGCTCCCTCTACCCACCCCCCCTGCCAAACCACACAGCTCTGCAGGCTGCCCCAGCCCTGGGCCCACCTTGGGTCTGCACTGCCCAAGGGGACTTGTGCTTACCCTCCATAGCAAGGACAGCAATGTCCTAATCTTTGTTTGGTTTGCTAAGCCCCAGGAAATGGTAATCTCAGAGCGTTAGAGAGGTTCTCACTACGTCCCTCTTTTGAGTCCCTCTTTTGATAGAGGAGGCAACCAAAAATGTGGATTCAACAAGTAAGAAGAGTGGGGCGCCTGGGTGGCTCAGTCGTTAAGCGTCTGCCTTCGGCTCAGGTCATGATCCCAGGGCCCTGGGATCGAGCCCCGCAACGGGCTCCCTGCTCAGGGGAAAGCCTGCTTCTCCCTCTCCCACTCCCCCTGCTTGTGTTCCCTCTCTCGCTGTGTCTCTCTCTTTCAAATAAATAAAATCTTAAAAAAAACAAGAATGAAAAACAGTGACTGAAATCAACGATTCCTATCGAATTAGCAATGATCAGAATCAAACATTTAAGATAATGTCAGACACATTTCCTTTGGCATCATTACCATTGGGTTAGAGTCTTTTTTGTGAGAGTGGTCAGCGTCCTCTGCTTCTTGTGATGAGGGGAACTTGCAACAGGATTCTGGACCAAGAGGGTTCTGAAAAGTTGCTTCCTCCGGATTGTTACTTATAATTGTACCACCTGCCTCCTTTATTCCCACCTAAAAAAAGCAATTGTTATTTTAGAAACCACACTGTGGACACTGGGTTTCACAGTTGCATTCTATAGAAAATTCTCTGTAGAAGTTATGTTTTAAGTAAACAGCACCCTTACCTTTACTTCTCTCCCACACTATCATTTTCCCTATGGGGGGCAACAAGGAGGGGTGATAAGTCCTCTGATCAGCCTCGCTGGGGAGGAAGGACCCTGAGGACCAAAACCATCTGGCCACAAAGTATGGAGGTGTGATTTCAGTGTGGTGCTCATGCTGTTTCAAACACACAGCATAAGGAACTGAGAAGATGCTCCACTGGCCCCGTGCCCCTCGAGGGGCTCAACAGCGCCCCCCACTCTTGGGGGGGCCTTCCTTAAAATGGCCTCAGATACTGACCCTTTCTCACCGTTCTTAGAGCATGCTCATTAAGTTGTATGAAATATTCCAGTTGATTTCGATGTTTCTCAAGAAGCCTCCAATCCTTGCTGACGTGTCAGATGTAATATTGACCATGTATTTACGACAAAATTCACAATTACATAATAGCACCCTCCTGACTGCACGGCAGGACGGTGAGGGTGCGGGGAGTGGCCAGTGTTGTCTCTAAGCCATCTTCTGCAACATCTGCCATCTCAGGGACACACAGCAAGATCACCAGAGACAGGGCGAAATGCCAACGGTACTACTGAAAACCAATGGAATTTAAAAACTAAAAAGACTCAACGGTTAAAAAAATTACCATCAGATTCAAGAGTTCCAAAATCGTGAGGATCCTTTCTAAAATTTGCTAACGTGAGGAGGATTGGGATGGCATCGGCCGCGCCCTCCTGAACTTTCACCTGTCCGGAGGGCCCATTGCAGAGTACAGGGGAGCCTCCCCAAAGGCCAGGAGGTAGGTCCCAGAGTCTTTCCAAGAAGACGGTGATTCTAGGGTAACATTCTGAAGACCTCATATAAAATCACAGCACAGATAACAATCCTTCTAGGTGTGGCTGTGGATGCAAACTTGGAGATGTCGAATGGTGAAATCAGTGACCCACACAGATAAAAATTACTGGCAGGTTCCTTAGCACAGCAGGCTGGCATGAAGGTATAAATCTTTAAAAGGAGGAAGGTTTAGCTGTATTTCAAGTTATGGCTTTATTTCAATAATTCACATTTTATAGAAAGAGAAAATTTTAAATTTTCTTCTGCTTTCTGCTTTGAGGAACTTGCCAGGCAGGTGCCATCAGAGTTTAGATTTAATTTACCACCTTGTAATCAACAAGTGCTTATACAGTAAATGTATCAACTCCTCGGCCTCATGCAACTATGATCTGAACTACTTATACTCAGTAAAGTCCCATTTTTACAGAAGAGATATAAACAAAGGTCAATGCGGGAATGAATTTCTAGAAAAAGGAAATTAGCAATTCATCCTCAATATTTACTAAAAAATAATCCCCTTCTGTTTAAATGATAAACATGTTCATGCTGTATCTTTTTCATTTTACTAGTTAACTAGGAAATAGGCAATAAATTTTTTTTAAAAAGCAAAGAAATATCATCCAAATAGCCTCTCCTTTGTTTTGTCAAACCTACATTTTGTTAAAATTGGATTACATTAAAAGGGAATTTATGATTTTGACACGAGCTAGTTCCATTCCTGTTCTGGTGAATTCTCACTGAGTCCACTTTGTACAGGAAGGTAGCCGGACTAGAGGCCTAACAGGCAAAAGGTGCCAGGAACCCAAGTTTGGTCTGGAAGCAAAATGGAGTGGCTGACATTTCAAGCCATCTGAAAAGGATTCAAGGAAGACCTCGACCGTGGGTGAAGGCTTGTAGGACTTGGGTGAGCTCTAGGGTTCCTCTCTGTAAGCTGAGAGGGTGGTGGAGGCCCAGCCTCTCCTCCCCATCTTTCCTTAACCCTAAGGAGCAGTGACTGCACTGAAGGAAAACCAGAAAGGCAGAAATCCAAGCCCCTGGATCCAAGCTCAGGATACACGCAGTCAGGCTACAGCCATCCCAACACCAACTCCCGAGGGCTCCACAGAGGCTTCCCTTGTAACTTACTACAGTGATTTAATGGCTGAGTAATCTAGTTTTTCAAACTAGATGCTCTTAGGGGGCCAGTCCCCATTTCTTCGGGATCCTTTGTTTCCTTTAAAAATTGATTTGTTTCGTTTTGGCAGGAACAAAGCAGAAAATCACCAGTGGTGACAGCAAAAGAGGGCAGTTAGCAGAGAATTAGCAGGAATTAATGCAGACTGATTTATATTTCATATGCTTGAGGAACAATCCCTAACAATTAGCAGAGAGAAGCTCTCACATCTTGATTTCATGATTACATGAAAACAATCACACTGCATTTTCTCCCCAGAGGCTAGTGCCTCTAACTTAAAGGGGCTTCTTTCCTAAAGCCAGTGAGTGATAGCAAGAGGGGCCGCACCCCTCCCCACTCTCTCCCTCTTCTGCTGTAAGCTCTCTGCAGCCTTAGGCCACTTTGAACCAGCCCCCAGGGGGCTTACAGAGGGAGATGCTCAGTTGGACCCAGTGAATCCAACCGGGGATGCTTACTGACCCCGGGAAAATGCTTGTGAGGAAAACCTTGGCCCGGGCCGGTGGTCCCACTTCTCTATTTCCGAGGGGGGTGGCGGAAGTCCCGCGCCCGTTCCCCACATGGATCTTACTGGAATCACCCGGACACCGGGGTGGGCGGCTCCTTCCCTGGCCCAGGCGCCCAGGTGCACGACAGCAGGACTCCTGTGCGGGGCCAGCAGGGAGGACAGGAAGTGCACGTTGTAGGCCTGCGGCTGCGGGGCCACGGACAGCGCGGCGTCCTCCAGCGGGCTGAGCTCGGGGAGACTCGGGTACTCCGGGAGCATCTCCTCATCGTCGTTGTCGTCCACCACGAGCTCCACTTTGACTTGACTCTCACAGTCCACGTGAAGCGGGGGGCTGAACCCGTGCAGGAGGGGCTCCTTGGGGTCCGCGGAGCTCAGATACGCGTCTTTAAAAACGTGGAACTCGTCCTCCTCGTGCTTCACCACCACCGGGGTTTTCAGGGTAAGGTTTTCAGAAACAAACGGACTCTCTGCACTGAAAAGGTCTGTCACGATCTCCTCCTCGGGACTGGACATCCCGCCAAGCAGAGGGACCTCTTCCATATCCACCGAGGGGACCTCGGGCCGGGCATCGCCACGCACCCCTCGCTACTCGGATTCCGGCCGGGAGCCCAGCACCTGCAATGACGTGGCCAGGTGAGGCGGGCACGGCCCCGCCCCGCCCGGGCTCCCCAGCGGGGCCTCTGCACCAGAGGGGCCGACCGGGGCGGGGGTCCCTCCGCGCCCGAGGGGCCCACTGGGGCGGGAGTCCCTCCGTTCCCGAGGGGATGACCCCGTCTGGGGTCCCGCCGCCCCCGAAGGGCCGACCGGGGGACCCACGGTCCCCCTCCCCGCCTGCAGACCCCTAGGCCGGGCCGAGGGACCGCGGGCAGACCCGACGGCGGCCGGAGGGGCGCGGGGTCAGGCCTCCTCCGGGGGACACACCTGGGGCCGCCGCGGCTGCCGCTGCCGGAGCGCCAAGCGAGGATGTCGGGCTGGGCGAGCCGGCCCCTCACGTGCCGGCGGCCGTTGGCGTTTAGGGGCGGAGCTCACGTGGGCGGGGCACCGATGGGCGGGGCCGAACTGGGGGAGGGGGCGTGGGCGGGGCTCGCGGAGAGAAAGGTGGCCCGGGAGGGGGCGGGGAGCGGGCTGTTGCGGGGAGGAAGGCCAGAAAGGGCGCTCTCAGGGTCCTCAGCTCCAGGCTCACATGGGGGAAACTGAGGCCCCCAGACCAGTCTGACTTCTCAGATCAAAATTAGGATAGATTCTTTTCTTTCATTGGATAATAAACTCTATACTGAAATATTTAAACATTACAGATAGATTTGAAGTTCCCTTAAGGACCATGCCATCCCCAGTCGTGCTGCCTGCCAAAGGGGACATTTAAGTCAGCTGTGTGTCCTTCCAGCCCTTTCCAGGGCCTCACATACAGATGCATATGCGTAGATGGCCTTACTCTGAGTTTATGGCTGAAACATAATCACATCACAGTTGAAGTCAGTTGAGTTCAGGGCAGGGCTGAGAATGCAGTTGATATAAACTGAAGAGCCCTCATTAAAAAAATAAAATCTGGGGCGCCTGGGTGGCTCAGTTGGTTAAGCAACTGCCTTCGGCTCAGGTCATGATCCTGGAGTCCCAGGATCGAGTCCCGCATCGGGCTCCCTGCTCAGCGGGGAGTCTGCTTCTCCCTCTGACCCTCCCCCCCTCATGTGCTCTCTCTCTCTCTCTCTCTTTCTCGCTCTCTCAAATAAATAAATAAAATTTAAAAAAATAAAAAAATAAAATCTAACTAGCTTGAGTAGCCTGAGCAAGCACATCAACCCGCAAGACCGTACCACTCACACATTTTTACAGAGCAGCTCCCATGCATCAGATGTGTACAGCCACCTGAGTGATTCACAAACTAGCCAGACTCGAAGGCCCAGGACCTCTGCAACACTCCTAGTTGCTCTTCCAGCCCTGCTGGATCAGCCAAAGCCAGCTGCCTCTACCCTGTGACTCAGGCCTCCTCTCAAATTGGCCGCCTTTGTCAGCCAGCTACCTCTGCCCACACATGATCCTCTCCTCTGCCTTGGACACTTGAGGATCCTTCGGATGGTTGTCTTGGTTCTGTCCTCCTCCCTGGATTTGATCTCCACCACCGCCAGAGCCTGATGCTGTCCCCGCTGTACCAAGCAGAGCTTAGCACACAGTAGGCGCTCAATAAAGACTATAGAGAAAACTGAATTCATGCATTTGCTTAACAGAGACTTCATTCGTACCTACTTTGTGTCAGACACTGTTCCAGGCACGGGAGCAGGGAGAGAATGCATAAACATAGAGTGGAAACCCATAGCCCAACTCAGCAGCTGCCCTTCTCAGCCAGGTCAGTGAATCTTGTCCATGTCCACGCTGTCCAGGCCGGGCCATCTGTGCAAGCCTCCTGCAGTCTCTCTCCTTTGTCTCCAGAGCCTGGGCTTCATCCCTGACTTCTAACCTCCTTATTCATGTAACAAAAGAGTCAGAAACAAAGGCTGGGATTAATGTTTTATTAATGATAACATTCATACTACAGTACCCAGATTTACATCCAAAAGAGCATCTTGTATTTACATGCAATGGACAGCCCAAGATAACAAATTCAAACCACAGCTCTTTTAAGACTATGGCTTATTCCAAATTAAATTAAATACATAATACTCTTCCCTCCTCCTTTCAACATGTACAATAAAAACCCACTCTTCCTTCTTTTAGGAAACATAAAATTGCATTGATAACTGCACTGGTTAACAATTAATTACATTTGAAGTATTTAAACCTGAGAGACGAGCCCAAACGTGTTTGAGTGCTACACGAGTGCGACATTGGAATTCACATGGGAACGCTAAGGTCAGTGGTCGAGATAGTGCAGGGTTGGGGTGGCTCTGAGAGTGACTGATGCCTGCTCTGACTGGAAGCCACGCCAGCCCAGGACAGAGTGGGCCATTTCCCCCACACCTCCTGGACTATGAACCACGGATGAATGGGGGGCGGGGGTTGTTACTGTACTTGTTGGTTTTCATTTTGTTTTTTTTTTTTTTTTTTGTCTGTTTTCATCTCTTCTTGCTTTTAAGAGACAAAAAAATCTTTGGCCCGTTTAGGTGGGATTTTTACATTATCACATATACATACATAAAATATGCAGGTGTGCTGCAGCAAGTGCCCATCTCCTCCAACAGCCCGGTCTGGTTATCGCTGGAGTGCACAACTCTTACAGAGGCAAGCCCCACCAGAAAAAAGTGGTCAGAAAAATAAATACACAGTTTTTAAAAATGGACAGCTAAGCTGGTCATTATGGCCCGGAGGCAGTGGGTCTTTCTCGATCCGTGATCCTTTATTTTTACATTAAATACTGAACACGATTCAGTGCATAATTGCTTTTTGGTCGGTCAGACGCTTTCAGATAAAGGCACACCCATCTGAAGGGCAGGCTGTGTTAAACCTAGCACCTGTCACCTGCGACATTTTCGTCCATCACCAAGATGACGTGGCCTGCCGTTTCCATCTCCCTCCATCTCCTCTGGAAAGGAGAGTGGTTCTCTCTCGCCAGGTGGGACTCGAAAGCACTCTTGGAGCTGACTGGCGCTGCACTCTCCTGACCATTTTGAGGCTATTCTTCCTGCTTCTCAAGCTTTATTCCTTTGTCAGCGGTAAATGTCATGCCCTCCCTTGCTGTCAGCTTGGGTAAGTGGTGCTCCGGAGCCACGGCTTATACTTTCTTCTTCAGTGACTGCTCCAGACACCTCACACTTGACCATGACATCGCTTGCTCCCCATTTCTCTCTCTCTCTCTCTCTCTCTCACACACACACACACACACACACACACCCTTTCTTTTGTTGCTTAATGACACAAGGAAAGCAGTCTGATGAGGTGGGAATTCAGCCCAGCAGCCCTCAGGAGGGAACTTTCTAGGGGCAGGGAAACCACAGGAAACACTTATTTAAGGGTTACCCATTCGGTAAATTGAGAAGGGGAGTAAGACACAATTCCACCTGAAGACCTGACACAGGAAATCTTTCCCATGGTCTCCCTTTCGCTTAGGGCCTTCCGCTTTTAAGGCACTGGGTTTTGAAGACTTGCACGGTCAGTAAAACTAAAGATGGGGCGGACTACACGCTTCCAACATGGGGAGGCAAATACAGGCTACCAAACTGGCTGATGACACAGTTACCCACAGTGACAAAAACTGTTTCCAGAAGCACAGTGTCTCCGTTAGTGTGTTACACATGCGTCAGCTACGAACAGTTAACCTCTCCAAAACTCGACCGCTTTCCTCTCTGAACAAAACAAGCTCTGGTAAAAGGAAATGCCCCTAAGTACCAGGTCTTGGGTCACTCCCCGAGGAAACGTGCCACTTGCGTTTCCAATGTGTGAAGTCACAACCCCACTAATCCCTTCAAGAGCTCAACCATATTCTCGTCCCTCAGTCAACACAGGCAGATGCAAAAACTTTCGGGGCGGGGGGAGCGCTTTATCAAAACATTCCCAAAGTCAGGACCTGCCAGGAAGTAGTTACACTTCCCGTGGTGGAGACCTGCTGTTCTATAAAAAGAAAAACACCAAACCCTCGATGGAAGGAAAACTTCTGAGTTTTGTAGAGCAAATTTGCATTGTGAACTACAATCAGGATCGACGGCTAATTTTCATTTGGTTTTTCATTGGAAGAGCTCGTTTTCCTTCATGACGGCTCTAGTGGAATTACTTTCTGGAGTTGGCGCTGGACCCAAACAAGCTGATGATGTCAGTCATTGCTTGTTTCAGGTACTTCCCAAAGCGATGCGAGTCCTTTTGTGTGAAGACAGAAAACGAAAACACACGTTACGACATGGAAACCCCCACGCTTCAAGCCTTTACACTTGGAACCTGACTCAAAGAACAAAAGTTCCTTTTTTTGCTGGTTCTCTGGGCTCTGGCTGAATGGCTTAATCACTAAGTTAAACGTTCTGAAGAAACGCTGTGGGTTCAAAGAAATAACAGTTTCTAAGTTCATGTGGCTGTGGTCTTGATGCAAGGCTTCCCCTAACATCAACGCACTACATAAAGCACAGTAAGTAAGTGAATTCCAATCCTCTCTGCTAACGGTGAACTTGGCCATGCTTTCAGGGGACACACAACGTGGAAAGGCAGAATAGAAACAAGGATTCAGGGTGCCATGCTAGGAAGGAAGTCACGTTTTCCACTCCCACAGAACACTGCAGGCCCTGCATCATCTTATATGCGTTCTTCTTAGCATGTGCGTGCTGACCTCCATCCACCCTCCTATACCAGAATCTGAGAATTATATAAGCACTCCCACGTGAAGATTTAAGACCATCGCTAAAGGCAAAGACAAACGTTTGCAACCAAATTAAGATCATTTCTTTAAAATTAGGTTAAAGAGGGGCGCCTAGGTGGCTCAGTCGGTTAAGCATCTGTCTTCGGCTCAGGTCATGATCTCAGGGTCCTGGGATCGAGTCCCATGTCGGGCTCCCTGCTCCGCGGGGAGTCTGCTTCTCCCTCTGCCCCTCCCTGTCCCCCTGTTCATGCTCGCTCTCTCTCTCTCAAATAATAAAATCTTAAAAAAAAAAAAATTAGGTGAAAGAATTTAAAAACTCATTTATCTGAAAATGTCCAGACTGAGTAAAAGCATATAGTTGAACTTCTATTTTCTGTCAAATTAAGAAAGAACAAGTCTGTCCAATGAAAAAGAAAACAGTAAAAATACTCTGTCTTTAGGAAAGGGGGCTTCATTTTGTACTTACGGTCTCAGGGCTGGAGAATTTGGAAGATATATGGAAACTGATGAGGTTCTCTCCCACGAGGATGTACGACACGCCATAACCATCGTCGGCGACCTAGAGAACCAGGTAAGATTAAGTTTAACGTCGGGGAACGAGATGATGTGGAAAGGGGACTCTCTCACATTTTACAGACAAGACAGCGTAAACACCTGCATTAATCATCTGCAGAATTCCTCGGAGTAGGTGGGGGTTAACCAACAAGGTAACGAGGGCCGCTCAGAGTCCAAGAAGACCCGCAGTGGAGGCGGACGGGCACGTCCAGTCCCCAGATATGCAGCTCCGTGTATATCTACACTCAGACACTTACTGGCCCGAAGCCCCCTCCGCTGGACACATATTCCGGATTCCTCTCCAAATCAAACAGCTCCACCTGCTGCTGAGGAGTCTGGCTGGTCGATAATCTCCATGGCTCAGATAAAACCTATTGAGTAGAACAAGGATATTCTCTAATGACACTTTTCCCACTGCTGTCCTCTTCTGTAAAGGCTCGCTGGGTCTCTGGGCTGTCTCAGATGCCGGAGGTCTGTGTCCCCGAAGGCCTCGCTGGCTCGGGGCCAGTACGTGCACAGAGAGGGCATCTGGACCAGAGGGGCCAACACCAGCAGAGAAAAGGGGGCAGATACATGAACTAAGATTCAGAAAGGGGGCCATGCTCTGCTGGAGCTAATTTTTAGGAATTTTTCAAGCTGCTTGTTCAACACAGCATTATTTAAATTCCATACCTTAAAATTAAATAAACTGTATTAAAAACAAGAGTGATAAACACTTAAGGGCTCATCACTTCCTAATTACTCGAGTACACCTTACTACGATCCAAGCTTGAGGTCATTTGCATCGAGGAGGTCAGGAGGGGGGACTGAAGGCACACAGCACTAAAAGCACAGCTCAGGTTTGATACCGTGATGACAGCTGAGCCCAAAAACCCACTTCCCACTGGCGAGGCTGCCCTGACTTACTCTCAGCTTAACCAACAAACCTGGGTGAGCTGCTGCTATAGCAGCGGGAACTTACTTCCTTCAGGAAAGGGGAATCCACGGCCAGGTATTTGGACACCACATAAAGACAGAAGAGATGGCGGTCGATCCCAGAGCCAGTCATTGCGAGGCGGTACAGATGCTGATGCTTCTCGGATGCGATCTTGAACAACTTGAGCCTCTGCTCAACCTGAGCAACGAAGGGTGGGAGAGTCACGTTGTGTGGGATGGACCACATAGGCCTTCTCTGCAGTGGCCCGACGGCACCATTGAAGCAGGCGACTGGGGGGTCTCCGGGAGAGACATGCCAGAGCAGAAGCCCCACCGAGCAGCTGCCCCCTCCCTAGATCACGCTGCCGACGGGGCAACCCGAGGGAAAACCCAAGCACCGAGCCTGTGGGGGGAGCTTGGGTGTGGGCAGCGGGCTCCGTTGACCCCGAGTAGAAGGTTCCATGGCATGGTTCCAGGCTCCTCACCCACACACCAACGCTCATGCCTCGCCATGCCATGTGAGATTCGAGTGTAGACTCCTAGGGAGTCCAAGCTGATTCGTAGACATTACAGAACTGACACAAGCGTTAACCTCTCTGTGTGTGTCCCGACCACGTTTAGCTCCCTTGAAAAGAGACGGGGAGAGAAGCTGAATTCGGCGCCCCTGGAGAAGGTGTGCACGGGACCTCCTCAGCCTGGCACCACCTTACCGTCTGGGTGGGGTCCACCATGGCGAGCACAAAGTTGCACGACTCAGTGGTACAGGAACGCACGGTCTCCGTCCTCCCCTCTCGGAAGAGCCGGGTCATGGAGGCCTCGTACGTGAGGCAAAATTTGCCCATGTCCTGGGAGAGGAAAAGTATTTTAATACAAGGCAGGGCCCGCTGATGGACTCTAACGCACAAGAAGGGATGGGTTACGGTCAGCTTTAGTTTTAGTCCTCATCAGTCTTCACACGGGGTTGTGCAGCAGGCAGACGGAGACGTCATTAGCTTTGGAAAGGCCTGGGGGTGGCGGGGAGGGGTCAGTTTCTGGGTAGCCCAGGTCCTATTTCCAGATGCAACTGATGCCATGGCACAATTTCCTGAGCTTCACACACCTACCCGAGTGCAGACACACTTCTGGAAGGGATACATGACAAGATGCGCATGCAACAGTTGGAAATTATTCAAAGACACAAGGTGTTGGCAGGAAATAGTCCATCATGTTTGGATGACAATGCGGATGACCCAGGAGAGAAGGGACAGGTGAGGAGCAACGTCCCCCAGCAGGAGGGGAGACGAAGCAGAGGGGGCGGCCGTGGGGAAGGGCAGGGGGCGGTCAGGAGGTCTCTTTGGAACACTCTTGTTTTCTCTGCGAACCCAGAAGAAGGCTTGGCCTGCTGGGGCTGGGGAAGCAGGGAGGGGCCGGGAGTCAGAGCGGAGGCATGGGGGGTCGGCACAGAGGGGCACAGAGGGGGCTGCCCAGGGGCCCGCCAGAGTCAGCACTCAGTAACTGCAAGTGGAAGAGGCAGCCCCTTGGGGTTTGTCTCGAGACACGCCAGCCTCCTGGGTGCAGGGCCGAGAAGCCCATGCCCAGGGTGGGGGCAAGGGGAGGGCAAGACAGGCGGAGCCCCCGTTCCGGGGACGAGAAGGGGGACAGGTTGATGGAAGAGGCAGCACCTGAGGCTGAGCCCCTGTAGGTGACAGGAGGACAGCTCAGCAGGGGCTCCAGGGAGCAGCAGCAGGTGGTGCGGAGGACAGGGTCCGAGGAGCACCCAGCGTCCCGCCACATGTGCTATGGGAGGAAATCACCCGCCAACTGACCCCGGCCGCCGGGCCAGCTCCAAGACGCCCAGGTTCCCAGCCTGGGCGGGAAAGTGGCCCACAGCAGTTTGTGGACCCCAATTCTTCCTGACCGGACAACGCCTCTTGGTGTCCGGGCCCTGATGACCCCAAGGGCACAGAGGACACCCTGCCACCAGCCGATACGGTGAAGCAAAACCCAGTGCCAGAGTCAAGGCGGAAGTTCCCGGCGAGCGGGCCATGCCTGGGAGTGGCCTTCGGGGCTCTGTCCCTCCCCCAGTCCTGCCTGTGAAGTGACGAGGCGAGCAGGCCACGGGGTGAGGAACACAGGCCCGGAGGTCTGTGACGAGCCGCCGCTGACTGCCATCCACGCGCGGCACGCCCCCCGCCCGCCACGGAAACCTTCCACGCTGCCCCGACGCCCGGCACAAGGAGCCACCAACTCACCACACTTCTTCCACACACCAGTCATTACTTTTCCCTTGGGTGGGCTCCAAGAGGGGCTCTAACTCCTCATTCTATTCTATGTAGAGTGAGAATAAGAATAGAACAGGTAAGCAGGGGGGTTCAGGTTATTCGTCAAATACGCCTTTCAGAGAACTTCCTACCAGCTGTCGCCGGCGGGCAGGTTCAAAGGGGTGCATGACAAGGCAGTGGGGAGGGAGGGGGGCGGGAAGAGAAGGAGCTATAAGAGAAAAGTAGAAATCTGGCATTTTAGGCATTCAATAAACGTTAGCTTGGGATATATAATGCACTGATTTATGCGAGGTCCACTTTCCAACACCAAACTTTGTGTCAGCGGTCAGCACAGTCATGCATTGATACCCACAATTTTGCAAATGATCGTCTAAAAACCTCTGGGCTAATGCACTGCGTGTTAGTGTGCTCAGCCCCGCCCCGCCCCCCCCCCCCCCCCCCCCCCCCCCCCGCCGAGAGCCAAGCTGGGTTACACCTGCAGCCCCACTTCACCTGCCGCAACCAGCTGCCATCGGGAAAACACCTCCGGTTTCTAACGAGCCAGATCAAAAGACATGGTTGATGGAGATACGGACAGGAAAAGGTGTGAGAATATAAACCAGTCACACCCTGGGATTGCGGCCCCGGGGCTCAGGGTCCAAGGGGGTGGCACGTGGGGGAATTTTTCACCTCTAGTTTCTAAATGAAAAGTAAACATGGCCCCAAAGCTGGAAGCGAATAGCTGTAGACTAAAATTAGGACTGCCGCCAAGTGTCTTCATTCAATCAGTCACGACTTATTTACAGATGCCTATTCCTCTGTGACTAGCATGTTCCTGGCACTGGGGACCGATCACATCCCTGCCCCTTGTTCTAACGGGAGAAATGGGGTTATAGAATATTACACAGTGACAGGTGCACCGAACAGAAACAAGGCAAGGTGACAGAAGAGTGAGGGGGTGGGAGCAATTTTAAATAGGAGACAGGGGCACTTGAGCAGAGACCTGAGCAACCACACCTCAATCTGGGAAACAGCAACCACCAATGGAGAGCAAGTGCAAAGGCCTTGAGGTAGGAATGAGCCTGACATATTTGAGCACAGCAAAAAGGCCAGGGTGGCAAAAGCTGAGTGAATGAGACCGGATGTGTTATGAGAGAAGGTTGGAAGGGCAGACAGGGATCAGACCAATGGTCACTAACCTTTGGAACATGTTAACTTGGAAGGGAAAAATAGATATATTTTAATGTCTACTAACCTCAAGCTCAAATACAGCATTTAGAGGCACAGCCAACAAACCACAGTAGCTGCCAACAGTGCAGTGACTTTGAAGAGAAAATCATAGCTATTTGCACAACAAATTATGGTTGTTGCAGATGTCCCAAAATACCATCTCTATGCTTATCATGACTTCAAAATTACAGTAGTTATTAGCTCTGCCACCCCAAATTTAGTACATAATTACACTCACTGCGCCACTCATTTACATTTAATATTTTGACGTGCATTTTTACTAACTGATTACCTCTGTAATGCCTATGTATTTCCTTTAATGCTTTACAAATGTTATTCTGAGATGGGCTCCCCGAGATTTTCCCAAACTGCCTATAGGGTCCAGGGCACAGAGAAGGGTCAGAAGCCTGGAACAGGCCCCCAGGACATGCAGGACATCTGGATTTATGCAGAGCCAAGGGGAGGTCCTGCAGCTCTGAGCTGAGCAGAGAAGGGTCGAAGCCTCAATTCCACAAAAGAGCCACGTCCCTAACGCAGCTGGTGCTCAACCGAGCCTGCACGCAAGAACTTCTGACTGGAAAGATCTGCCTCACATTTTTAATAATAGGTCATTTGAATACACTGATCCTTCTTAATAGGTTGAGTGCTCCGTGAACTGACATGGGTAGGGGGGAGGAAGCAGGGTGAAGAATAAAATTCTGATTATTTCCAGCCGGAGGGTAAAGAACAGCTGTAAGTACTGAAATAAATGATCTTTAACTTTGAAAAAGTAACTTAGTTTCTTAAAAAGCAATCGTAATGCACGCTTGTGCAAAAAATGTGAACAAAGAACAGTGTAGGGGCGCCTGGGTGGCTCAGTTGTTAGGCGTCTGCCTTCGGCTCAGGTCATGATCCCAGGGTCCTGGGATCGAGCCCCGCATCAGGCTCCCTGCTCCTCGGGAAGCCTGCTTCTCCCTCTCCCACTCCCCCTGCTTGTGTTCCCTCTCTCTCTGTGTCTCTATCAAATAAACGGATAAAATCTTAAAAAAAAAAAAAAAAGAACAGTGTAAGAAAATAAAGATCAACCTCCACAGCCCCTTGCTGTATTCTTCATCCACTCCTTCTAGATTTTTGCACAGGATAAAGCAAGAAGCTAGGACACGTGTTCCATAACGTAACAGGCAGGTAGCAAATATTACAGTTTTGCGGGCCAGGTAGGGCGGTCTCTATGGCACCTGCTCAGTCCACTCAAAACACCTGTGGACAGGCCATCCACACCGAGCGTGACTGAATGCTAACAACACGTCCTCTGTGAATGCTGAACTTACATTTGATATTCACACGTCACAAAATAGCATTCTTCTTTTTTTGTTTTTTTTTCCAATTATTAAAAACACAATACCATTCTAAGCTCAAGGGCCATGTGAAAACAGGTGAAGGGCGAGATGTGGCCCGTGGACCAGTTTGTAGATCACCGTAGTAAAGACTCAAAACTTTCAAATGGTGTCTGATGGCCAAGTGTTTTCACACCACAGACACATTTAACCGTCACACACAGTCTGTTGTGCGAAAATACAATTTAACACGTTTCATGCTGATAACCTTTTCGACTGATTCAAACTTTTACTGAGAGGTATGTTTCAGCTCATCTTTGTGAACCTGTCCATAAAGGATACAATTCTCAAGGAAGAATTTGCCTGGGAAATGGGTATACTTTCAGGACACACACTCCCCGCTGTATGAGCCCAGCGGCCGCACGCACACTTCCCTAAGTTCCCCTGTACAAACACAGAATTGAAAGAAGACCTTTGCAAATCACAGAGGCAAAAATGCAGTCTTTCTTACATTGCATTTATCGGATTCCTAGCAAGATTAAATTTTCCACATACATTTCCTGACAATTTGTAATTTTCTGCTCTCGTGAATCACTGTCTGCTCTGACTCCGTTTTCTTACTGGGCTGTTTATTTGCTTCCCAAAAGGAACCACTTAGCCAATTTTTCCAACCCCATTCACTAATCGACTCATCCCCTCCCACCGATGTTAAATCCCGCCTTTATCCCAGAGAACGGCCCAGTGCTGCACCCTGCTCATTACTAGACTCTTCCAATTTCTACATTTTAGGCTTTGGAAGAACAAGTGCCCACGTCGTTACTTTTATTTTTCAGAATGTTACTGGTTATTCTCAAACACCACCTCTTCCAAATGAACTTGAGGATCAGTCGCTTGAGCTCCCTTCCCAAAATCATCTCCGGACCTCAGACTGTGTCCACACTGGACACGTGCACTGGGCACGTTCGCCTCTGTGGGGTCGAGACTTTCTACCCAAAACCAAAGCCTTGTCTCCCTGTTGGGAGACTGCCTCTACCTCCCTCCCCAAAAGTCCCACCTGCTTTATAAACGTATGCCTGGATCCCAGGCTCCTGTCTCTGGTTCCCATTCCGCTTGCCCTACTGTACTTTCTACTTGGCCAAGTGCTGGGCAAGGGAGATACTGGTCTTTGTAGAATTCTGCTCCGGGCTCCTTCCTGAGCAGCCTCCTTAATCATAAAAGCTTTTCTGCCGTCTCCATCTCCTGAGAAGACATACTGATCCTCCTTCTGCCCAGTTATCCCATCAGCTGATACATGATGCTATTTACCACGTTAAGGAAATAGCTCCTGTTACCTAGAGGTGTTATTGGGAATGCATGCCAAGTTTTTTAATGTCTTTCTAGTATCTGTCGAGATGACTCTCCTTTTTCTTCCTGATCTAGTAATATAATTTAATCTGTTACCGGATCTACTAATACCAAACCATCCCCTTGTTGCTGGCACCACAAGCTGTTGCTAGTGATTACACGTTTCCTACACCGCTGGATTCTATTTGCTAATACTTTATTTAGGTTTTTTGCATGTACATTCATGAGCAAAACTGGTCTACGGCTCTTTCGCACCATCCCTCCAATTAAGACACGGGTTCTAGAACCAGCCTGCCTAGATCCAAGCTCAGCCATGCCACTGTGAGTTGTGGGTCTCAGGCAAGGGAGCTCACCTCCTTGTGCATGAGGCAGAGATGAGAAAGGCCCCCTCGTTCATCCTCAGAGCTCCTGCAAGGCACTCCGTACCACTGGGGTGGCTCTATGCAGCTCCTGATCATACCCAAAATGAAGCTGGCTCTGGGCGTCAACCGGGCAGCCCCTCACTTTCGGAAGGCTCTGGAACCCTACGCTCATCCAAGCAACGAAGCTGCTTCTAAGCAGGTTCATGTTGGCGGGCGCCGCTCTAACTTCTGACTTTCATCATGGGGACTGACCTCCTCCTGTCTTCTTACTCGTCTCGGGTCAGCTTTGCTAACTTCTGTCGCTGCAGAAAATAATTGTTTTGAGATCTGCAAATGTATTACCACGGAACCTGGTGTTCTTTTACGAAAATCTTCTCTGTATCTGAGATGGCACCTCCTTCTACTGGCTGAACGCTGCGTATTTACATGCCAAGTCTGCTCAGCAATTTTTAATCTCAAGCTTAGTAATTCTAAGACCCAATTCCTCGATCTAGTTACTGTATTTGTCAGTCCCCTATCTCCGTCGGACAAAGAGCTCCTACGATGGCCGCGCTTCTGTCCAAGGCTCCGCGTGCGTGCACTCTAGTGAGTATGTTACATGGGAAAAGAAAGCTTCGTGATTTGATCATCTTTGTTAAGAACTACCATAGAGGCACCTGGAAGTACGATTTGGGCCTACCCATCTCGGTTTCTCTGATTTTAACATTACCTCTTTTGCTGTCCTGCATCTGTGTCTTTTCTTGACTCGCCCCACCCCCGCCGAGAGGGGTTCTGCTCAGCACATGTCCCATCCCGCCTGTGGCAGAAGGCCTGGACCACGGCAGGACTATGAGCAGGACTATGAGCAGGCTGTGTCTCAGCCGCTGCCCCCTGGGACAGGCGTCTGGCCTTCCCCACCCCCGGGGCAAGTGGCTCCGGGCACATGCTCAGGACCCTGAGGGCTCGTGACAAAACCCCGAGCTCGTACCTGGTAATGTGCCAGCTGGAGAGCAAGCTGGACGAAGGCATCCGGGCTCGTCCGGCACTTCTTGATCAGTCCTTTACCAAAGGTGTGGAACGGGAAAGAGTAGAAATCCACGTCATTTGCCAGAATGTTGGCGCTGTTCAGGGAAGTCTCTATCACCTCTTGACACTGGAGGAAAAAGGGAAAAGAGGTGTTACTGGCCGGTGACATACCCTGAAGAGGTGAGATTTTCGCGCCACTGACAGAGCTGTTGCCTGGAAACACACACATCCCGTCTTCTTCCCGGTTCTTCCCAGAGCCACAGTCCGGGAGCAACAGGGCCCCCCCACTTGCCCAGGAGTGCTGGGGTGACCTGAGCAGGAGGAAGGCCCGGTCTGAGCGTGACCCCACAGGGCATCCCGCACAGTACGCTTTGTTTAGTATTGTGAAATCCACTGTGGCGACCCAGGACCCAATTTTAAAAAACAAACGGGCCGTGGTACGACCACGCCATGGAGAGGAGTTCCCAGGCCACGAGAGAACGTAGAGGAACCCTAAATGCACGTGACTAAGGGAAACAAGCCGGTCTGAAGAGGCCACGTTCAATAGGATTCCAAGAATGGGACATTCTGGACGAGGTAAACTGTGGCGACCGTGAGAAGATCCCTGGGCGCTGGGGCATGGGGGGCAGGGAGGGACAGGCAGCGCCCAGATCTGGGGCAGTGAAACTGTTCTGTGTGAGGCTGTACATGGATATAGGTCACCGTACATCCGTCCAAACGCCAAGAACGCGCAATGCTAACTAACGCTGAACCCCACGTCAGCGATGGGAACATGTGTGTGCTGGGTGGGGAGAGGCGGGTAGGAGGGATCTCTCTGGACTTTTCTGCTCAATTGTGCCGGGCAACCACAACTGCTCGAAAAGTTAAATCTATAGAAAAATTTTGAAGCCATGGTGACCGACTCGGTCAGGTACAAGAACCCTCAGCCCGCGCGCCTTGGCAGTGGCAACACCTCTGAGGAGTGCACACTGGTCCCCGGGGATGTAGGACAGAAGGCCTGGCTGACACGGTAGCCCCACGCGTGGCATTTTCTACTTCGAGAATTACTCCTTGGGCCTCAGGAGTGACTGCTTGGATCAGATATGCAGGAATGTGGTATTTCCAACCCTAAACTTCCTTCCTCAAAACGCTTCCTTTTATTGAGCGGCCTGTGTATGAAAATCGTTAAGAGAGACAGAAATGACAAGTTAGTGATCTCAGAGTACTTCCACTCTAAAGGAAGTGACTTTGTTTTTTCACTTTTTCACTGTGACGTCCAGCCAAATCTGAGCTGGAAATCTCGCCGACAATCTTCGCCAAAACTTGAAACAGAACCATTTCCCGGGGCCCCTGAGACAGCAGGGACTGTAGCAAGCAGCTCCATGGCCCCTGCGCGGACACAGGTCGGTGTCCGTGGCCTCCAGCTGAGCTGGTGCGCGTGCAGCAAGTACGCGGGGGCAACCAGGCTGTGACCGTTCACGCTCATCCCCCACGCAAGGTTGTTCGGACTCACTTCCTCCGGGATGTCCCATTGCAGCCGTGTGGGGTATGGAATATTCGGGTTGGGGTCGCCCTTGCAGTGCCCATCCTCTGCGTAGCCCAGCTGAAAGGAGTCCGTGGCCAGGACATACTGTTGCAAACAAAAAGACACACGTGTCAGGTCAGAGAAGACGATGGTCAACAGTGTTACCTCAAGCATCTTTGAAACAACCTCCAGAGGAGACAGATCCTTGCTCCTCGCGGAGATGTAATGAAGACTTAGCAGGAGCGACTCCCGGGGCCTGCTAGCAGTGTGCTTGTTCGCACCTGACACCCTCTGCATAGCCACCTAACGTGAAAGTTCTTATTTCCATTTTAGAGGGGAGAAAACCGGATGTGGGGAGGCTGCCCGGCTTGTGGGCTGGTGAGCAGCTCAGCCAGGACTCCAGCACATGCGGAGCCTGCTTCCAGGTCCCCGGTGCCCGCTGGGTGTCACCCCCCGCCAAGTCTGGAAGGCAGGCCCCATTATTCCCACTGTGTAAATGAGGAGGCCGAGCCAGGGGGGCGAAGCCGTGCCCCCAGTTCACACTCCCCGTGAGCCAGGCCCCGGGCACAGCTGTGACATTCTTTTGCCCCCCACGAGGACACCCACACCAACGTATTCAGCTGTATTTACTGAGCAGCTACTATGAGCCAGCACCGGTGAGAGAACAGTGAACAAAGCAGACCAGAATTTCTGCCTTTCCTCAAGATGTTAAACGTGGCCACCTGACCCACTCAGTCTGCTCCAGGGTACACACTCGCGAGAGATGAAAACATGCACTCACTAAGACCTGGGCACGAATGCTTCCCAGGGGCAGTGTTTATGGTCGTCAGAATGTGGAACAACCCATGCACTAGCCAGAACCCAGTCAGAGAGACAGAAAGTAGATGTGTGGTTGCCCTGGGGGTGTGGGGGGTATGAAAATGTCCTAAAATTAGATGCTGGTGATGGTGGTATGACCGACCACCCTGTAAATACCCCAAACCCAGCAGAGTGTGTACTTTAAGATCAATTTTATGGTATGTCAATTATATCTCTGTAAATAATAAAAAGTTTTAAAAAAAAGGAATCCCTGCACTCAGGGAGCTTACATCCCAGTGGCGGAGGCCAAAAAAAACCCACAAAAAAACAAAACCACACCCAAGTCCGGGTGGTGGTCCTGCCGGATGGTACGGGGTCGGGGGCTCCAGCGTGGGGGCGCGTGGAGGCGGCCACGTGTGCGCGTGTGGTCGGCGTCCATGAGATCTAAGCAAGCGAAGGAGCCAGCCTATTTGTGTCTAAGCCGCTCTGCATCAAAGCCCCCAGAGAGTCCAACACACTGAAGCTTCAGAAATACGTCGGCAGCAAACAGGATCCAGCTCTGACCAGATTTATTCCTGACTGGCTCGCCATGAACAGACCAGCTCCCGTTTTAATTTGGCCCGGGGCTCTGTGACAGAGAGCAGGTCAGTTCCCATCCCTGTGGGGAGCTCCTAGGGCCCGCGTCCCTGGAGCCACAGGCCATTCTGTCAGCTGCCAGGAACAGGAGTGATCACCTTGGGCTCACAAAGCAATCCCTTCACCCTTATCTCCTCCAGAGCACTTAAAATAGAAGCCTGGCCTTGTCAATGTGCAGATTTCTCCACCTGATAAGTCACCCTGTGCCGACTGCCTGTGGCTCGGGTTCTGTCTCCTTCACCTAGAAAAGCTGTCACTCAGGACATCCTTGGAACAGGTGCAGCAAGCCTGGATGACTCCGCTGTGTAGACAGACCCCGTGTCTAGCTGCTCTGTCCAGGGGCTGAAGGTGGCTGGATCTTCACCGCATCAGCAGACGGACGGTGGTGAAGACCCTTCTGAGACTTGACTGCTTTTATCATATGTTCGCATCTTGGGACCATACCGCTATCTTAAAGACTCTAAGTAATGCTTTGTTTTCCCTGTTTATGCTTTTTCCCCACATTGAAGACCTCACTTGGCTAAAGGAACATCAGGTTAGCTTTTGCCAAAGCCCCAACCAGGTTTAAGACGGTCAAGAGAAGTCTTGGAGTGGGTATCAGGAGCTCCTAACCCAGGACTGGGAGAAGGCAGAGGAGGGGCCTGGAGGGAGTGCAGTCAAGCTGAGGCCTGACGGGGCCCGTGGCCAGGAAAAGAGTGTTCTGGGCAGAGGAGGGGGTGTGTGCCAAGGCCCTGCAAGAAACAGCAGGACATGCTCTAGGATTTGTGTGACTCTAGGGCAAAAATGGATAGAATATTTTAAAAATAAACGTTGAGATCCAAAGCCTTCACAGAAATTTAAAAAAAGAGAGAGAGAGAGAAAAAAAAGGCGAGGTCATGCGTTAAGATGTCCTTACAAGTTCACTACGATTTCATCATTTCAGGTCCTCGACCGAGCTCCACACCCTGTGAAGGACAGCGGGGTCCTCAGCCTGCGGTCCCAGGGATGTGGCTTCCACAGATGCAACAAATTTAGGTCACGTTATTCACTCCATTTACTAGAGCAGAAGAAGACTGCAAAGTACAGGCTGAGCATTCAGGGTGAATTTCAAAGGGCCTTGTTGCTTTCACAGAAAGTTACCCTTGAGTTTCATCAAATCGAGATAATACAGAAATTTCTGGATCAGGTCCACTGTTGACAATCCCGGAGTTTAGAAATTTCTTCAAACAAGCACCGTGGCGGATGAGTTAAGAAAGCAAAACCTTCCTTCAGTTGTTTGTGCCAAACACAAAGGCAGTTCCAACAGTTCAGGGAGAAATGGATTTTTTAAAATTTAAAGAAGTGGCAGGGTCGATCCAACACTGCATTTTAACAAGCTGGGTAGAGGGACCGGATGATAGGAGTTTGGCGGTTTTTAAATAACTTGGTAATTTTGAGAATTAAATGATGTGGTTGCATTTTTATCAACCAGGATTTTAATATGCTTGCTTCTAGTGCCTAACACCTGGCACATGGGAAAAATCTCGAAAACACAGCAAAGAGGAAATGGTTTTGCTTTAGCCCTGCCCTGGAGTCCTTGCACGAGAGCCCCCTGCCGTTCCACTACTTTGGTTCTACCTGGAGATGGCATTAAATGTGTTTCTATTTATGGAAACTAAGTTGTAGGAAATGAAGACACAAAGGCCTTTTGTTCAACTAATTAATGTTACATGAAGTGCCGACGTGCGGTAAGAAACCTTCTATAATCAGACGGGTATCACACAGTGAAACGTAGTCTGGGGTCTGGATTTGCAACAGCAATTCCCACACTCACGTCAAAGCTGCCACCACTCACCTCCCACAGGTGTGCGACAATGGGCGCATCGGCCCAGGAGTGCTCAGCGTTCATGCCTATCTTCCCGTTTTTGAAGACAATGAACGTGAAAGACTTATCGAACCACCTACATGGAAAAGAAACGTTCACGGGACTTAAGTGTTTAAAAGGACCAAGTCAAACGAAAACCACGTACTTGTCTTACTCAGGATGGGCTCCTCTGTCCCCACCCCCCAAACAGCGGGCCGACACTCATAAGTCTCCGCAGAGAGTGATAATAAGAGCACACAGAGAACTTAGATTAGTCACTTCTCTGTTATCAGACACAAAGATAAGCAGAACAGAGTATGTTATTCTAACATGAAGGGACCCACAAGGCAAGCGCAGGGAGCCGGGAGGCCATGGGCCCGCAAACCCCCGCCCTGGGCCGAGCCTCACCCCCACCTGCCGGGCAGGCAGGACCGCTCCGCAGACAAGGGAAGGGAGGCTCCGGGTCAGTCACGAGCTCAGGGAGTGAAACAGAGCCGATACCCAGCTCAGCCCCGTCCACCACCTTCTCCTGCCTGGATTCCAGGCGCCGGCTGCCACTCCTCTGACCAGCGCCTCCGATCGGAGGTGGTCGGGCACGGAGAGGGAAAAATCTCGAGTCTGCTGCTTAAGGGGTGTGTGTGCGCATGCGCGCAGAAAAGAGAACCAACGTTGTGTTTCTGTGTGAGCCTTATTCCTTCAGGGTAGAGACACAGCCATGTTACCTGTCAAAACACCTGCCGTGTAGGAGAGACTTGGCATAGCTGTCCATGGATGCATCCGGGTCTTCCTTCCTGTACCCTTGCTCTGTTTCATCGAGCGTCACGAAGAATGCTGCCTTTTCCACGGCATCGAGGGACTGCTTGTTTTTCCCACGCCCAAAATAGGCCTGGCGACACTTGGCCCAGGGTACTCTGAAACAAGGGTTAGAGTCAAACCTACAGGAATGTGGGGACATCTTATATGTGATGTTCAAAATGATGATGTTTTTCACAGTTTTGTAGGAATTTAAGGGAAACTGCGTATTTAGGACTCTGTCTGCAGCGGGTCAGCGCCATCCGTCGGCAGGCGCTCCAGAGCAGAGCACAGGGACAGCGCGTACCTCTGGCCACTCCACGCTGGACGGGCCACAGGAATGCACACTTTGAGCGCAGTGACCTGGGGGCGGTGGCCCCGAGACAGGGCTCCCCACACCCGTGCCAGGGCCCATCCTGAAGATGTTCTGGCAAGTGCATGTGAGCGCGTTCCCTCCTGCCCGGCTCTGCTCCAGCCCTCGTCCACGTGCCAGCTCACTGACCAACACTACCACTCCCATCTTTCAGAGGGAGAAACTGAGGCACAGAGATGTGGTCACGGCTACTTTGTGGCAGGGAGAGCTTCGAACCCAAGCTGTCCTGACCAGGTCCACGCTCCTAATGACCACAGGACGTGCGGGGGTAGGGGGCAGCCCTGGGAGTCCAACTAAGGGGAATCTTTTCATCCCACCTTCCGTGGACACAAGGAGCTGACGTGACACCCACTTCCTGAGGGCTGCCCCAGCCACGGCTCCTTTGATCGCTCCGGGACCCCGCACTCAGGCCCTCCTCTGGCCCCTCACCCCACCCACCCTCCAGATCAGGGTCATCTCGCCTGTCTCCTGTCCCCTTCTCGCCCTGAGCACTCTGCCGAGGCAGCCCGTGGTGCCAACACCCCCGTAAACACTGCGGTCCCCACACACACACCTAGCCGGGACCTCTGTCTTCACTGTATGCCAGGGGCCGCAGGAACAAGGGTGGCTACTACGCAGCTCGCGCTGCGTGAGGGGACAGGAAGGTGACAGGCCAGCACATACACTCGGCGTCTACGAGAAGTGCTCGGGGCGGGGGGAGACGCCCACGTATACACTCGGGGTCTATGAGAAGGGCTGGGGGGGGATGCCCATGTATACGCTCAGCATCTATGAGAAGTGCTCAGGGGTGAGACGCCCATGTATACACTCAGCATCTATGAGAACTGCTCAGGGAGGAGGGAGACGCCCATGTATACACTCGGCGTCTACGAGAAGTGCTCGGGGGGTGAGATGCCCATGTATACACTCAGCATCTATGAGAAGGGCTTGGGGGGGAGATGCCCATGTATACACTCGGTGTCTATGAGAACTGCTCAGGGAGGTGGGAGACGCCCATGCATACACTCGGTGTCTATGAGAACTGCTCAGGGAGGGGGGAGATGCCCATGTATACACTCGGTGTCTATAAGAAGTGCTGGGGGGGGGTGTGAGACGCCCATGTATACACTTGGCATCTAGGAGAAGTGCTCGGGGGGGGGTGAGATGCCCATGTACACACTCGGCATCTATGAGAAGTGCTTGGGGGGGTGAGATGCCCATGTATACACTCGGCATCTATGAGAAGTGCTGGGGGGGTAAGATACCCATGTATACACTCGGCGTCTATGAGAAGTGCTCGGGGGGGGTGAGATGCCCATGTATACACTTGGTATCTATGAGAAGTGCTCGGGGGGGTGAGATGCCCATGTATACACTTAGCGTCTATGAGAAGGGCTCCAGGCGATGAGACGGGGGAGCATCAGGGCCAGGTGCCCAGAGCCCTGCGGGGCGGATGGTCCCAGACAAGCTCACTCCTCCCCGGCACTTTGTGCCCACCCACTACTGATGCTCACGAGCACACGGGGAGGGAGCTCGTTCCCCAGGATGCATTGCCCTCCGCGGTTCCTTCCAGCCCCGGTGAAGCCCCAGCGATGGCCCAATATTCCTGGGCTTCTGGGACCGAGCCTCCCCTCCAGCTCACACTGCCTGTTCCAGCCCTCACTGCCTGAGGAGCCTCCGGAGCAGAATAATCTTGTAAATCTGCTCGGGGCCTTCGGGTAGCCCCTTTAATGCCCGAATCAAGCCCCAACGTAGTTGGGGCCATGGGACCCTCTCTGCGTTCTGGCGGCCCTGACCCACTCTGCCATTCCCAGCCTGGAGTGTGCGGTCTGCTCCCCGGACACCCCTGCCACCCTCTGTGGGTCCCGGACCTTCTCCTCTTCTCTGAGAGGGCCCTCACCACGTTGCTCTAGGCTGCCCTAACAGATGCCACACTGCGGTAACTCGGGTGCCAAACCGGGGACAATACTGCCCCCCAGCGACAGTGGGCAACGTCTGGACAATTCTGTTGGTCACAATGGGGTAGCTGTCAACGGCGGCCAGGGATGCTGCTCAGCATCCTCCCGGGCCCCCGACAACACCCCGCCAGAACAAAGGTTTACGTGGCCCAGTGCACACAGAGCCGAGGCGGAGAAGCCAGCTCTGGCCTTACCAGCTAATTCCTCAGGGAAACAAAAGCCTCTGAATGATCTTGAAACGTGGCAGGAAATTCATCCCTGACACAGAGGCCTTGGTTTCAACTTGTTCTGTGTCCTAAAGTAAATGGGCCCACAGCCCCGTGACAGAGCCTAACTCCCGTCTGTCACGAGCTCTGGTACCCAGCAGACACAGGCCTGCCTCGCACACAGCCAAGGTGGCCCACCAGCGGGGGCGGGGCTTAGACCCCAGGCTCCAGCCCTGCCCCCCAGCGCCGCTGCAACTCGCCCCCCCCACGCCCCTCCTCCAGCTGGGTCCCTGGGTAGGGAAGAGAAGCACAGGCCCCCAGAGCCCCCGGGGCATGACCCACGTCCCCGAGGAGCCGCACACCTTTCTCCCGCGGTGAGGGCCGCCAGCTTTGCCTCCCCAGGCTGAGGCTCCGACGGGTCGTCCAGAATCCTCTGCATCTGCTGCTCGATCTCCCGGGGCGTCAACAGCCTGCCATCGTGGTAGAGCCAGACCTTGAAGTAGCGCCCCTTGTGGAACACGGCGATGTGCTTGCTGTCCCGTATGTGCTGGATGGTGTCTGCGGCAGGACAAAGAATCCAGAGGCGGGAGGTTAGGGGAGGCTGAGAACGTACCCCCCGGCCCAACCGTCCAGTGGTCCCAACCCCTCCCCCCGCACCCCTCCACGCAGCTCATCCGTCCACTTCTCAAGAGTCTGTAGAGGACTCGGTACAGATCAGAGTTGAGAGGTTTGACTTTGTCTCAGCTCCACTCAGCCACTCACTGGACGCATCATCTTGGGCCAATGACTTAAGCCTGCTCAAGGGTTTCTACCAGAAAACTAAGCAAACGCGCCCTTCAAGCCTTCACTTCAAAGTCAGAAATAAGATGCACGCTACAACCACCTCCGTCCCACGCTACACCAGGTCCTGGCCAGCTCAGTACACTAAGAAACAAGAATCAACAAGACACTGGGATTGGAACACGGGCCTCTCACGGCCACGATTAACCCCAGAAAATCCAACCGACCCCACCAACCACCAGCTGTTTTACACTACTGAGAACACAGCTGGGTAGACACTCAGGGTCTAAAATCATTTGCGTTCCTCTCCCCTTGAGTTCTGGGCCAAACTGAGCCCCTCCCACTCACATGCTGAGGACCTACCCTCAGATGTGACTATATTTGGAGGCAGGGCCTTTAAACAGGTAATTAGGTTAACACATGGTGATTAAGATGGACCTTAATCCCACATGACAGGGGTACTTATAGGAAAAGATGAGGGCACAGACTCACACAGAGGGACGGCCCCAGGAGGACCCAGGGAGAGAACAGCCGTCCACACATGAGGACAGAGGCTTCACGGGGACCCCGCTCTGCCCGCGCCTGCATCTCGGGCTTTGGCCTCCAGGACTGGGGACAGTGAGTGTCCGTTTCAGCCATGCAGGCTGTGGTGTTTTGTTACAGTGGCCCTAGAAACTAATATAGTCAGTAGCCAACAACTCAAAAATACACTTAAAACAACAAAAACAATAAAGGACTTAGGAATAACTCTAACAGATGATGCACAAGACCCTGGCAAAGAAAGTACAGCACCCCCTGATCCCAGGGGGACGTGTTCCAAAACCCCCACGGATGCCCGAGGCCGTGGAGCGTACCAAACCCCAGATACACTAATGTTTTTTCTAGTCTATGTACCTATGAGAGTTTAATTTATAAACTATGTATAGTAGAATAACAATAAAAATTAAGTAGAACAATTATAATAATGCATGCTAATAAAGGTTATGTGGACGTGGTTTCTCTCTCTCAAAATACCTCATCCTGGCCCTTCTTTTCATGATGATGTGAGATGAGTCATGTAGGTGTGAACACAGGGTTAAGCTGATGTTACGGGGGATCATCAGCTTCCACACCGTGGCTGGTTGTGGGTAACTGAGACCACGGAACGCAAAACCACAGATAAGAGAAACTGTATGACACTTTATTAAAACCACTTTTAAAAGCGCTATCACTGGGGCACCTGGGTGGCTCAATCATTTGAGCATCTGACTCTTGGTTTCGTCTTAGGTCATGATCTCAGGGTTGAGCCCCATGTCGGGCTCCATGCTCAGCGGGGAGTCTGCTTTAGATTTTCTCACCCCCTCTGCTCCTCCCACCCTGCTCGCTCGCTCGCTCTCTCTCAAATAAATAAATAAATAAATCTTTTACAAAATAAAAAAAAAATTTTAAGAGTGCTATTACTGTCCCAAAACTGCTTTGTGCCAACTCATCCATTTTCACAAAAATCTGGCCACAGATCACTGGACTCCAGAGTGTAAGAGAGACAAAGGTTGGCTTTCAAGGCAGAAACACTCCACACGGTAGAAGTACTGAGTGCACTGCTGGAGTCTTCAGAAAGCCTCTGGGTCCCAGAACCGAAAAAGGCTGAATCCGCTTACGGAAGCCCACCCAGAGGCCAGCTTTTGTGTCCGAGGACCCCCATGCCTACCACCACAGGACAAGTTCCTGCCAGGGGCTCATAGTCTAGAGGTACCCGGCTATAACGACACCCCCCAAAAGCCAGATCAGCTTGGGACTCTGTATACAATCAGCTTCGAAAGCAGCAGTGGGTTAAAACAAACAAACAAACAAACCGGCAGTGGGTTCATTTTAACAGCCCACCATGAGGTCTCAGATGGGGTCCAGTTTCTCAGTTGCAAGTGGCCAGTATTTGCTACCTGCACGGCCATCTGGAGGCTCACGGGTGGCCCAGTCTGAGCCCTGGCTGGCCTGGGACAGTCCCAGGTGATGGCATGTCTCTCCCTTTCATTCTCGAGGGTGTCCTGGCTCCAATTACGTGGCTGCCCGGCATTCTGCGAGGGTCGGGGCGGGGATCAGCTGTCCCAGGTCAGGCTGCTCCAAGTGAGCTGCTAGATCACAAGCTCAGCCTCCTGAGCACAAGCCAGCATGCATTACACAGGAACCCTGCATGTGAGCCAGAGCAAAACTCCCTAGGAAGCCAGATGAAGAAAAGGAATATTCCTAACCAGACCTGGGAAGAACACCCTGGGAGACAGCCTTCGACCACAGAGAAACTGATTTCTGAAGATAAAGTCACATGCCCTAAGAAAGACCAAGGAAATTCAACAGAAGGAATATTCCTGAGCCTAAAATCTCACCCTCTCAGGAGGGGTCAGCATAAATCCGCGTGCTGCCCGTCCGCCACATCCATCCGCGGCACGTAAGGAGCAAAAATGCTTCCCGAAGGAGCCCCACTCACCCGTCTCCTCTCCGGGGATCCGCGAAGTATTAAACATTCGCTCCCACTGAGCAGAGCAGAGCGGAACTGTGGATCCCAACAGAAAAATCTGCAACAAAAATACGTTTCAAACAAAAAATTCCTCAGGGGGGTGGGGAAGGGGTAAGGAGCAAACGAAACAATGGATTTGTTTTCTGCGCACACAGTGCTTGACTTCATCTCCTCCAAACTGCGGAGAGCAGCTCTTCCCTGGGCCGCCGACCTTACGGCAATACTCACTGAGCCGGACCTGGGCTCGGCGCCCCGCACCCTTCCTGCCCAAGTAACGCCTTCTCATTGATTTCTCAACGGACATTTACACCACAGACCGTCTACAAACTGACACTTCAACCAAAGGGATATCTAAGAAAGAAATGTCTTGTTCTTCTTGAATAATTCACCAGCTCAACTGTTTTCCTTCAAAAGTAAACAAGAGCTTCTTCCGGCAGGGATTACAGGATGAAGTACAAGAGATGTATATCCACTTAGAATACACAGGGAGAATGAAATCTCAAAGTAATTATGCAGACTGAAAGAACCTAGACCAGAGAGAGAGAGAGAGAGAGAACCTACTACATGATTTCATTTGCACAAAGCTTTGGAAAGTACAAGTGATCCAGAGGGACAGAAGGCACAAGCGAACTTCTGGGGGTGACGGAGGTGTTCACTCCCTGGACTGCAGTGATGGTTTCAGGGGTATGTAATATAAATATCACAGGACCTATCAAACCGTGCCTCAGGCGTGTCCACTAAGCCAACGAAGCCATTTAAAAAGAACTGTTCACAGAGCAGTGTTTGTATACCGGCTTGATCTCCTCCCGGTCCAGCCTTCGTCTGTAGAGCAGGATGGCGTGGATAGCATTGCCCGCTCTCGCTGCTTGGATCTGGGTCGGCAGGATGTACAGCAAGTCCTGAAAAGGTAAACACGTGTCGGCAGAGAGAACGTCCGTGGGAAAAGCCACGCGAACTGAAATACACGGGAGGGCATTTCTGCACCGTTAAAATACTTCCATCTGTGTTAAATCACACCTGCTCTGATAGAAAAGAAATTAAAACTGCGTTTCCTACACTTGGGCAGCTTTGTGTTTTATGAGAAAATAAAAGTGAAGAACAGAGAGAAAATGGACAAAGAATGAGGCCGGCCATTTATTAAAGCTATTAAATACCAGTTACCAGAACCCAAACTGTGGGGTTTCTAACAAAACAACGGGAAGTGCCCTCCCAGGCCATCGATGCCTCGGAAGAACCACCTGGCGTCCTAGGGCAGCGGAGAAGGACGCTGCGCCCCTCGGCCCGGGGAGCCGCGGCCGCCTGTCGCCAAGCTCTGGGGGTGGCGGGGACACGGGCCCGCACGCCACCGTGGCATCACAACACAGTGCCCAGCTGTGACGACAGGGAGAGGGGCCCTGCAGCGAGGGGCCACTGACAGCCTCGAGAATATTTTTGCGGTCCCAATTTCTCCAAGCGGCTCGCGGCAAACACAAAAGGACGGCCACGCAGCTTTCAGGCCTGGCAAGGCGTCCTGGGCCCCGACAGGACGCCTGGGTCAGCAGGAGCAGGGGCAGGAGCTTCCCGGGCGGCCGGCAGACCCATGGGGATGCCCGCTGAGCCCGCCCAGGGCACTCACCATGGCATAGTAGTTGCTGTTCACCATCAGCGGCCCTCGTCCTCGAAGGTAGATGTACTCCTCCCACCAGTCGCTCACCTGCAGGGTGCCAACAGGACAGAGCGCTGGTGAGCTTAGCGGGAGCCACACGGGCTGGCGGGGCCTCAAGGGGGAGAGTGCCTGTTCTGTGGCACACGTGTGTAAGTGTCACACACGCCACGGCACGTGTGGGAGCCTAAGTGCTAGTGTGAGTTCAACATACCCATGCAGCCGGCGCCTAATTTAAACAGAACGCACCTGCCTGCCCCGCAACCACGCCCACTTCCAGCCCCATCTTCTGGTTCCTCCGTCTGGTCACGCTGAATACCTCCCTCTTTCACACCCCACCTCGTTATCACCCGCCAAGTGGCTCCTCTCACCCACCACACACGGGAAGGCCCGGCTGGTTGGTGGCACGGACTAGTATGTGCACGTGAATGCATTTCCGCCAAGACAGATGGTGAGTATGTATACTTACATAGTTAGTAGCCCACCAGGATTTTAACTTCAGATACCACTGCAATTTGGGTCCAAGGCTGACCGCAAAATCTTCTGCCAGAACCGTCATCCGTTTAAAGTCGGATTCCTTCATTAGAGGCTTCACCGATTCTAGATACTAGGGTTAACACAAAGCACACATGCCAAGTTAAAACACACAGGCCCCTCATCTACACCTTAGAAAAAATATAAACCTATTTAAAAGATTTAAAAATCTTCCCCAAGTCGGGACGCCTGGCCGGCTCAGTCCGAGGAGTGTCCAACTCTTGATCTTGGGGTCAAGAGTTCGAGCCCCACGTTGGGCAAGGAGATTACTTAAAAATCTTTTTCTTTAAAGGTTGGTTTATTTATTTTAGAGAGAGAGGGCGAACAAGTCGGAGGGGGGGCAAGGGAGAGAGAGAATCCCAAGCAGGCCCCACACTCAGCAGAGAGCATGATGTGGGGCTCGATCTCACAACTCTGAGCCGAAACCAAGAGTCAGTCGCTTAACTGACTGAGCCACCCAGGCTCCCCTTAAAAATAAAATCTTAAAAAAAAAAAAAGAACAACTCCCCCAAGTTGGTTTTGCCGGTCCTCACACGAGTTAGCCGGATGGCTTTGCATCAGCGACAATGACACCATCACCCTCCTTCGTCCCTTTACTGGCCTTCTAGTTCTCCAGACAAGCATCACTACAAGATCACCAGAGCGACTTCCGGAGTGACAAGATCACGGTTCGGCCGACAAGGACATCTCACGAGTCTTTATCCATCCCTCGGCCCTTTAATGAAAGTCCAATTCCCACCCACTCGACAGTGACTCAGGACAGTGCCGGGAACATGCTGGGGACGAGGTGGGGACACTGGGTAGCAGGAAGGAGGAGCCAGAACGATGGGACGGGGAAGGCCAAGCCCGGGGTCAAGGCCAAGTCTCCAGGTACAGGGTTGTAGGGCCCCCTGGCCTTGAGCAGCCCCACCCTGAAGTGAGAGCACCCAGGTGGCCGGTCACAGATGTGATGGGGTTTCGAGACCATCAGCAGCAGCTGTTGCCATATACACGAGCAAACTTCTAGAAAGTAAGGCCCTCGGTTTATTAGGAAACGTGTCCATCCGCCAAGTTCTGTCTGCCGTGAAAACAGCTTTGGGGCCCCAGGGAGATCTCTAGGACCCCTCCTTGAATGTTTACAGGCAGGGTGCCACTCCTGAAACCGAACAGCTGTTCAAGTTTTCAAGTTTACTCAAAGTGAGACGCGCATGAGTGGAACGTGACCACTCTGAAGCAGCTCGAGTCGGGCACTGGGCACCAGCAGGCGGGCCCCGCTCACGGACCCAGAGGTGCAGGTGGCTTGGCCACGCTCCCGCGGGGCGGGGCTCCTGTCTGCCAGGCCGCAGGTGAGGGAGGGCTCGAGAGAGCAGAGAGGGAACTTGAAAAGGCCAGGAGGGACGAAATAACTAGGCCGGGATTCAAAAGCCAAGGTTTTAAAATGGGTCCACGGGACAGGCGGAAACTGAAGCCCTCGTTGGCTTCGGTGGGAACGCCTGTGCTGTGGGATCCAGCCCAGCTGTTCCTCCACAGGTGAAGCAGAGGCCGGCCCCACCAGCAGACGGGTGTGGGGCTTGGGTGATGGAAAGTTCTGGAACTAGACCGTGGTGGAGGCCGCGCAATGAGACCGTACTCAGTGCCACACAACTGCATGGCTTAAAGGTTAAAGCGGTCATTTTCATGTTATATACATATACACCGCAATTTAAAACAACTAGGCAAGTAACGTACCAAAGACCGTTGAATTGGATGCTTTGAGGGAACTGTACGGTATGTGAATTATATCACAACAAAGCTGTTTAAAAAAAATTTGCAAGCTATCAAACATGATGCCTTTGAAAAAAACACCTCGTACGTACTGATAAGTTAGAAAGGAAGAGATCTCGGACAATAGCCGGACGAGCACACGGCTGAGACCTAATCCAGCCAACCGCCAGCCTTAACCCCCGGACGCCCGGCAGCTCGGAGGGGGTGTCCCAGGGAGCTCGAGGCCACACCTACCCTATTCACGGTGTCCTTGACGGCTGGGACCGGCAGGCGTGGCAGTGATGTCTGGAAGCTGTACAACATGGGTTTTCGGCCCGAAAAGATCTTGACCACACTCTTTAAAAAAAAAAAAAAAAAAAAAGGTGCGGTTTAAAATGTGAGACCATGTTAAAGATGTGAAGCCAGTTCTCGACCTGCCGACTCTTTACTGATTTTCTGGGCTTCGCATCGTCTCCGGTGTTTTCTGCCCCGATACCTCACAGGCCTTTGCCAACAAACAGGTGACCCCAACCAAAAACTAGCCCAAGTCTGATGGATGCTTCAAGATGCCCCGGCCAAGGTGGGCACCCTGAGGTTGCCGGCTGACTGCGCATCTGCATGGGGGCCAAGATCCACTCGGCTACCTCTGCGAGGCTCTGGGCTTTGGGACGGGCTCCAAGCCCTGGCAAGGGGCAGGGCGGGGGCTGAACTGGGAAGCCTGAACCTGGAGCCAACCCCAGGATGCAGCAGCACCGCGGCCCCTCGCGCCTAGCAGAGGGCACACATTTGCCTCCTCTCAGCCCTTGCTTTCATCTGGAAGGATCCAAACTTGGTGTTAACAACGGGTCATCTCTTGCTGACCAGACCCTCTGAGGAATTCCTCGGGCTCACGTGGGGCAGCTGGGACTCAGCCGGACGGGAGCCAGGAGTATGCCATCCTAGGGAACACCATTTAGCTTATTCCATACAGGGCGGGCGCCCCCTCGGACTCTCTGCTGGGGGCTAGATTCTGCTTCTCTGGAAATCAGCCATCTTACAGCCAGGTGAGCACAGAAAGTCGGTCTGGGAGGAGTGAGGCCCGCGGGCGTCGGGGTGCCTCTCACGAGCAGCCCCCAGGAGGTGGTGTTCAGCTTGTAGGTGGAGTGGTCACGGGAGACACTGGGACAAGCCTCCACACATGTGTCAACCAAGGGACACCCAGGCTGCAGCCGAGGAGAGCTAGCCGAACGGCCTGAAGCACGGGGCGACCCGGGGAGACCTGGTCAGACCAGTCGGCGAGGAAAACCACCGAGCGCCCGCCTTCGAGTTGGTCACAAAAGCTCCAAAGTGGATGGGCGTCAATTTTCTTTGAAGGAGAACGTGGTTGGCAAACCAGCAGACTCTAATATACCACGTTCAGAACTCTCCAACACTATTAAAGGAAAATACTCTTCAGCCCACACTTATGAGTCACGGTGAATCAACCCCTGCAGCTCCCAGGTCAACCAACCACGTGTGGAAGGGGAAAGGTCCCCAAGGAAACCCCTTTCAAGGTATAAAAGCCACTCACGTGAGACCCTGTGAACGTGAGACGAGCCAGACGCGGAAGGACGAATACTGTGGTGAGGGAGGTGGCGGCTGCCCGGAGCATGGGGCCCCTGACAGCGCCACCCCTGCACACCTAAGCCTTTGCTAAGAGGGCAGATCTTACTTACGTGCTCTTACCACGAAGGCAAAGCGGGGTGGAACATGAGGATGCTCTGGGAGGCGGGGAGCTAAGCTGGTGGCACCAATAATGACCATGGTTTCACAGGTGCATACTTACCTCTACGTGCACACCGCTAAACAGCGAGGAGGCCTGCTGCACGTCAAGCGTACCCCAAAATAAAGCGGTTAGAAAAAAATCCACACCAGTTCGGCACCAAGAGTGAAGTGGGGGTCATTACCATCCAGATCTTGGTGGCGCGGCTCATCTTGCCGTGCTGGGCGAACATCCAGCCGTGGTAGGATAGCAGCACCTTGAGGGAGTAGCGCATGGTGACAATGAGGGCCACCCACAGGCCCGTGCCGAAGAGGATGCCGCTGACCACATTCTTCGTCTGGCTGGACATGCAGCTGCTAGGGAGAGGACACAAGCCGAGCACACGTTAGCGGGGATGCCACGCACTGCCAGCCGGAGCGGCCAGCCCTTGACACAAGCTGTGGGGGGCCCCGAATCCAAGAGGGGACGCCCGGTTCCCTTAGCGCCAGCCCAACTCTCAAAGGCTCAGGCATCACTCTCCCGTCCTCAGGACAAACCAAGCCTCCTGTGTCCTCGGGGAAAACGCGCAACTTCCTCCAGGGTCTAGGAACGGGGACGGGGGACGTGTGAGGTGGTGGCCTGCCCGCGACGAAACCCACGCCCTGGGTCCACCTGCACCTCCTCAGCTGGGTGCTCACAGCAAATCTGGGCTGTTCCCTTCCTGAACCTTCTTCTTCCTCAAACATCACTTTGGATTTCGCCATTACTCATGAGACGCTCAGATCATTTGGGAAAACTATTAAAGCTGTTTATATCAAAGGAGCTTGTTTTTGATCTAGGCAGGAATACTTGTGGAGAAACTGATGTTATAAAATCATTTATTTTTTTTTTTAAAGATTTTGATTTACTTAGAGAGCGTGAGCAGGGGTTGGGGAAGAGGGAGAAAGAGAATCTCAAGCAGACTCCCCACTGAATGCAGAGCCCCCAACGGAGCTCGATCCCAGGACCCTGAGATCATGACCCGAAATCAAGAGTTGGACACCCAACCGACTGAGCTACCCGAGCACCCCATAAAATGGTCATTTAAATGATAAACTTAGAGAAAATATTTTCATTTGCTAAGAAAAGAGATACATCGTATGGTAAAGATGGGACTGTAAAAAATCTTGGTGGTTTTGTTTTTAGTTCTAGTTGTTTTGGAAACCACAAGCTAGTTATAAAATAAAAAGGATTTAAATAACAAATGTTGGCAAAGACACAGAAAATAGGGAACCTTCGGGCACTGCTGGTGCAGCCGCTGTGGAGAACAGGATGGAGCTTCCTCAAAAAAACTAAAAATAGAACTACCCTATGATCCAGCAATTCCACTTCTGAGTATTTATCGGAAGGACGTGAAATCCCTCTCTCGAAGAGATATCTGCACCCCCATGTCCATTTCAGCATCATCCACAACAGCCGGGACATGAAAACCACCTATGTGCCCACTGACAGGTGAATGGATGAAGGTGTGCTACATAAATACCATAGGATGTTATTCAGCCATAAAAAGGAAGGAAATCCTGCCATTTGTGACAACCATGGACCTCGAGGGCGTTATGCAAGCGAAATAAGTCAGACAGAGAAAGGCAGCTACTACTGTAGGATCTCACTTATACGTGGAATCTGAAACAAAACTCTAAATTCCTAGATACAAAGAGTGGATTGGTGGTTGCCCGAGGCAGGGGATGGGCAAACGGAGGGACAGTGGTCCAAAGGTACAAACTTCCAGGGGCGCTTGGTGGGCTCAGTTGGTAGGGTGTGTGACTCTTGATCTCAGGGTTGTGAGTTCCAGCCCCAGGTTGGGTGTGGGATTTTACTTAAAAATAAAATCTTAAAAAAAAAAAAAAGGGTACAAACTTCCAGTTATAAGATAAAAAAGTCTTAGGGATCATGGTAACTATAGTTAACAATACCATGTTGTATATTTAAAAATTGCTAGGAAAGTAGATCTTAAAAGTTCTCATCACAAGAAAAAAAATTCTGTACCTATATGTGGAGATGAATGTTAGTTAACTAGACTTATACTCAGTTTGAGCTACATACATCTACCAAATCACTATGTTATACACCTAAAACTAATAAAACGTTATGTCAATTACGTCTCGTTTTTAAAATTATTTCAATATGCTTCAAATTATTATTATTTTTAAGATTTTATTTATTTATTTGACAGAGAGAGACACAGCGAGAGAGGGAACACAAGCAGGGGGAGTGGGAGCGGGGAAGCAGGCTTCCCTCTGAGCAGGGAGCCCCACGCGGGGCTCGATCCCAGGACCCTGGGATCATGACCTGAGCCGAAGGCAGACGCCCAACGACTGAGCCACCCAGGCACCCCAGTGTGCTTCAAATTATTAAAACCACCAATGTACACATAAACTAAAGATACCTCCAGTATTTAAAACCCACCAAGTTAACGCCTTCTGATATTTAAGTAACACTGAAACAAATTATCTTCAAGGTAAAATCCTTTTGCTCCAAAACTTGTGTCCATATAACTTGTCAAATCTTGTGTTGTAATTTTTTTCTATAATATACACATGGGCGCTTCAATGAAAAGCATTAGCAAAAAAAAAAGCTTTCTTTTAAAGAGCACTGTCCTTCCGAGGTGGCAGGAGCTGGATGGACACAGAGCAAACCCAGCCTAGTACGTCTGCGTTTGTGAAAATAGCTACCTCGGACGGTCGGAGGTGCTCTCCAGAAAGACGGTTCCAGAACGACCTTCGAGCCTGGGAAGACGCTGACCCTTAACCTGGTCTTTCTAAATTTGGGCCAAGGATGGCCCAGTTCACCGCAATTGGTTTAGAGGGACAAAGAAACAAATCGTATAAAGACCCAGATTATAAAGGGCTTTAAATAGCCAACACTTCTAAATATAATCCAGCGTTAAGAGCCCACAGTGGAGAGTACATTAAAACTTCACGTTAAACCCACAAGAGTCTGAAAAGTACGCAGAAACAGCACGACCCAGTGTGCAGAGGACCAGCTGTCTGCAGGGGTTGCAAGGACAGAGGAGCTGGTTTCCCCGGAGTGTGGGGAGTGTCAGGTCCCTGCCTCGGCGTCCCTGGCCGCCAGGCAGAGCAGGGAATCTGGCAGGGGTCCAGCCCAGGCACGCTTCCCCTGAAATGATGGAATTTTTATTCAAGGTCTTGCAGACGCTTATAAAGGCACGGGCCAGCATTCTTGAGGCAGCTTGGAGGCCATGAGCGACTCGGCTGGACTCTGGGCTTTGAACAAGAAGGAACAGGGAGGAAGGCGCACCCACTCCAGGAGATACAAGTTCACACCTTTAAGCGAAAACAGCTGTCTTACTTCTTTAGCGTAATCAGAATTGAATTGACTCATGAGCTGGGGGTTTCCACCTGAAGTCCTACCCTGCCAGTTTGGTCCTTCCTGAAGGGACAATATGAAAGCCATACAACCAGCAAGGCACTATTTTATCAAAAGGCCCGTAGTTCATCTGCTTAGCTTAGGCCAGCTGCCGACACCACAGACACAACCCAGGAAAGTCAGGGGGCCCTAGCCTCCCCACGCAACCCCCAGACCAAAACCAAAGCCCACCTATGGGCTGAAGACTTCGGGACCATGATTTCTGTAGTAAGAGACCAGGGTAAATAAGGAACTGAGAAACAGGATCGAAGGTCTGGCACGGAACCGCCACGGTGGTTTTGGAGGTACCGGGGGATCCTTTCCAATCAGAAAATAAAAACAAGTATTCTAGGGCAAGGGCCAAACACAGAGTAACGGAGACCCTTGTGAGCGAGGTCACCGCCGCGCGGGGTCCGACCACCAGGGGACCCTGCGCGGGTGTTAGGGCCATCCTTGGGACTGGAGGGAAGAAGGCCTTCAGAGGGGTTCCATAAATGTGTTCGAGGGCGTGCCCACGTTCCACGTGGGACCCCAGGCACCACGTACACCCTTCCAGGAAAATACCAGCCCAGAGGCTCCTCTAAGCCAAAAATCATGGTAGAAAGAGAGCTATTTTCAAGCTCCTAGAAAAGCCGGAAACTCTCAAGAGTGCTGGGGTTCCCACCGGGGTTCTGAGCCACTTGGACAAGGAGCTAAGGGGCTGACTGCCCAGAGCAGTCAGTTCTCAGGGTCACAGACCCCAGTGCAAAGAGCTGACCGTGTCCAGGACCAGCTCCTGGAGCAGAAATTCCTTTTGAGGACCCTGCAGCCAGGCTAAGCACACTGACCACAACCTTGGACCCTGACATGAAGTCCCAGCGCAACCCAGGACCAAGGCCGTCTTCAGAGAAAGGGCCATGAGGGACTCCAAACTCCCTGTGGACCTTAATACAGAAGAAAGCCTACAGGAGGAGAATAGCCAAGCTTCAAATGGAATCAGAACAGTGATGGCCATTATATTTGAAAAGACATAAAAATGTCAGCAACAAAAGTCGCTAACTTCCTAGACAATTTGAGATTTGAAAAAGAGTACTTACGTCGTGTCCAGGGTCCGATTGATTTTTGCAATTATCCCCAGCGAGGGGTCGATCTTGGCATACATGGTTGACATCACACCCACCACCACGATGAGCCAACTGGAGGGGCTCGCCGGGTACACACCAGTGATGATGCCATTCTAGAAACAGAACATGCACCATGAGTACTGTCCCGCCCACAAAGTCCACAGCTCCTGGTGATGGGGGCAGTGGAATGACAGCAGGGGGAAGGAGACCTTTGTAGTTCATGGTGGCTAAGTGACCACTATAGAAAATCTTCCCCAGAGCCTCCAGCCCCTTCTCTTCTTCTATTTCTGAGCCAAATCCCTCCCTGAAGCAGATACCCCGAGAGTGACCCCAGGACATTTGAATCACCCGAGGCATGAGTTTAACATTGATTCCCGAGCTCCACCCAGACTGACTCTCGACACCCTCGAGTTAAGGACGTCACTGAGCCAACCATGATGTCCTCTCCCCAGTCTGCTACGCCTGGGATGCCCCAAGACCCCCAGCTCCAAAACCACCCCTCCTGCCACTCCTGAATCAAGAGGCTGCTCAATCCCCAAGTATTTTCAGGAGACCTGACTGCACGTTGAGAATTTGCTGTACGATCCCTCAGCCAAACCCCTGTACTTCCCCACCCTAAAAACCCCAAAAAAGCAGGAGCAGAAGACGGATATGAAACAAAATTCTGGAACCCAGGTGAGCCTTGTGGCTCCTTATTCTTTTTATTTCTGTGTTTGTTTCAACATTTCTAATTAAAAAAATATACATATCTTACTAAAGCCATCTTAACAAGAGATTGATTTGACCAAGACAATGGATTTAAAAACTCTCAAAGCTTATCTGAATTCTTTTAGGAGCTCCTTGCATCCCTACATGCCATTCCTACTGGGTTTCCGATTGTCTAGAAGTGTAAGAGAAAGAGATTTTATTTATTTATTTATTTTTGAGAAAGAGATTTTAAACAAAGTGGGGGTTCTCCTGGTGTTCTCGGATAGATACGTACATGTACTACATTACATGACATTACAATGGAGGCAGGAAGGGCCCAGATTAAAAGGTCTCCCGCTCACCCCAGCCTCCCCCTGCAGCCCGTCCAGCTGCCAGCCACGCGGTCCTCTGTAACCTCTTGAAAACCAGAGAACATTTCCACTGGCTTGCAGTGACTGGAGGCCCCAGCTCTGCACCCAAGCCTCTCTCTTCCCGGATCTGAGCGCGGGGGAGGGGAAGGAGCTGCTCCCAGCAAGGTCAGGCGACAACGCGCGCTTCCCCCTGTAGGTGGCGCCTCCTCCCCAGAGCCATATTCTGGTCAGCGTGGTCAGTGTGCTTAGCCTGTCCTACCAGGCCTGTTCCCAGGGGCCCGGCCCCCTTCTCTGACTCACTGCTTTCACCCTACTCTGGCTCCTGGGCCTTCTCAACTGCCCTTCTCTGAGCTACACCCTCAGAAAAGGAAATTGGAAAACAAATAGTTAGGAGTTTTCCTCATTCCCCGGGCAGGTAACCTGATGAAAGGTCATCCCGTTTGAATTCTTTCCAAACACGCATCTTATCCCTGCCGTGATTTTCGAAATAAATTACATTACGAATAAGTTAAAAGAACAAGACTCGTGCTTGATTAAAACCAGTGAATACATTTCCAGTCTTTCGGGTAAACAGAATTGAGAACATAGGAAGTTAACGCTGCTTGAATTTACACATGTATTTCAACATCGGACTATTTTATCAGGGAGGCATCTGTTAGATAAATTCACTGCCGTTCGCACAGCTGGGAAACAATCCTTTTTCTACAAGGTGTAAAGAGTGCTGAACTCAGAGACATGGTAGTTCTAGTCTTTCCTCTGCTTCTCCGAGCAGGTCACTCACCCTCTCTGAGCCCCCACGCCCCTGCCTAGAGGGAGCCACCGCCCCCGTCCGCCTTAGAGCAGTCAGTGAGCTGGTGTACACGGAAGCGGTTCCTAAGTACCGAGGGAGTATCAGGCATGCCGATCAGCACTCAAACACTCCCGCCGCACCAGTACCTACACATGTTCTCGGATGCTGAAGTGAACACTGTACAGATTTAAACAAGGATTGGCCAACCTTGAATCTGATGAACTTCTTTTTCCAGGAATGCAGTCCAGACAGATAGATTTGCTTGAGGGCTTCGTGGCTCAGCCGCAGGTCGATCCCGTCCGGGGTGACCGTGAACTGGAAGGCCACGGCTTGGTGAGCTTCTGCCATCTTCGGCAATCTCCTAGGAGGATGTGGAGGAGGGCAGAGTTGGACGCAGCCAGCATGTCACTCACTGGACATTAGAAAACCCCTCACCCATCATGCACAAACAATGAATCATGGAACACTACATTAAAAACTAATGATGTAATGTATGGTAATTAACATAACAATAAAAATTAAAAAACAAAAAAGAAAACCCCTCACCCAGACCTGGGATTCGTTCTGCATGAAGTCTTTCCCAGCCGTCTCACAAACTTAATATTCCATTCACAGACCCCCTCGCAGCGCCCCCTCCTCCGCCTGCCCAGCACTGCACAGCCCACTGTCGCCTCTGCTGGGAGGCCCAGGGTGGCCAGTGGAGTCCAGGAGTGGCACCCCCCACCACCACCTCCATCCCTGAGCCTCCAGGGTCCAGACCCACAGAAACCCCTACCCCCAGCCCCCCGCCCCGGCCATCCCACTGAACCATCCCTCCAGGCCAGCAGCCCAGGCCACACCCAGCTGACCCAGGAAGCTGGTGGCCATTTAACCACCTGCCAATCTCATCCCCACCCACCAGCTGCCTGGAGGCTGGCACAGAAGAAACCCAGAGGGTCCACAGATGAGTCCGTGATGGCCCTGAACCCCTTATCTCTGGACTCTGGGATGCAATGTGGCTGCTGGCTTGAGAGACCATCTCAGGCAGCACAAAAGACTCCATGAGAAGGAGACGCACAGAATCCTCAGGAGTGGGTGTTTATGCGTGTCTACGGACGGAGCCAGGTCTCCCTCCTCCTCCTCGGAGGCTGTGACTGACTTGGGTCAACAACCCAAGGGGTGGAACATTATAACTAGGGGGGAATTTACCCTCCTGCAAGCAGGCTGGTTCTGGGCTACATACCCTGCCCCAACGAATAAAAGCGTGTCTCCTTTCAACGGCTTCAGAGCCAGGTCTCTTCTGGTTCCCTTCCCCCTGGCTCCTGTCTTCTTCCTTGGGGACTCTGGAGCACCTCCCGGCCTCCCTCCGGCAGAGCCGGCCCCTCTGCCACCTTCTGGAGCCGTGGGACCAAGCCATCTCTTCCTAAACTCTGCCGGAGCGCCCCACGATCGAAAGGAAGCTAACGGGGTGGGGGGGGAAGCTACCAAGAACCGTAACAAAAATCCAAAATCGTGTGTGTGTTTTCTCATCACCAACTATTTCTCCTGTTTTTACCTGCTGAAGCCCACCGAGTGCGGGTGGAGGACCAACCGAAATCAACAGGTATCCTGCTTTCAAAGATGCCCAGTTACAAAAGCCAAACTAGCTTAGTTTTCAGCTAATTGGAACAAATGCCCCACAAGAGGCCCCCAGAGGCACGCAGCCTGCATTCATTGGCTCCTTCGGCAAGCGTGTATTGACTGCCTCCCACATGCCAGCCACAGGGAGGATCGAGATGTTGGCAGAAAAGTCCTCCTGCCCTCCACCAGCTCAGACAGGGAGGCCAAAAGAAGAGGGGGTGTCAGAGGGGACCTCCCGGGTGACACGGAAGCCCAGAAGGATCAGCGGAGGGCAAAACTTTCAGGTCCAAAGGTAAAACAGGACTCTAGGTAGAGGTCAAGGGCAGGTCAAGGACAGGGTGGCTGGGGTCAAGGGCAGGCAGCTAACTTTGGAGAGGAAGGCCCAGAGGCAGTCAGGGGAGGCAGCTGGGTTTTATGCGAAGGGTGAAGGAAAACCATCCAAGGGCCTTAAGTTACTATTTCTGTTCTCAAGAAGACCACTCTGGGGGCGCCCGGGGGGCTCAGTCGGTGAAGCGTCCAACTCTTGGTTTCGGCTCAGGTCATGATCGCGGGGTCGTGAGATCAAGCTCCACGTGGGGCTCCATAGTCAGCAGGGAGTCTGCTTGAGATTCTCTCTCTCCCTTTCTCTCGGCCCCTCCTGCTCATGCTCGCTAGCTCTCAAATAAATCAATCTTTTAAAGAAGAAGGAGGAGGAGCGGAGGAGAAGTGGTGTGTGGACCCACCACATGTGACGTCGTTGGGGGCAGAGGGAGAGGCCGGGGTGGGCACCCCCTGGGAAGTGTCAGCACATGAAGCTACGACTCCGCTTTGATTACGAAGGAAAAGAGCAAGTCAGAAAGACTGCAATCCCCTGGGAATAACCTTAGCTTAAAGTGATCTGCAAAGCGTTCACGATGATCTATGTGTTATTTAGCAGGCATGGAGCCAACCTCCCTAGCCTGGCCAATTTTGAAGGAAAAGATCCCACGTGTGAAAGCAGCAAGATCTCCAAGCAAATGCCTCCTGCAGATAATTCAGGATGTGGAAGAGGGTGTCCCAACAGCTCTGAATCCTTTTCTCAAAAAGCTATCCAAGTGGCTTGAGGATTCTGCCGGCGCCTCAAGGTTAACTCTTAACCCCTCTTCAAGAAGGCTTCAGACCCCCCATTCGGCGGGAGGTGGGTGTCACAGAGATAATTCTGCAGAGCCAGAAGCACGGCAAACAAAGTTACAGACTGGCCACCCTTTCGATGATTTGTAAGATCTTTCAAGGGCTTTATAAGGACATGAGGGATTATTAATGGCAGCAGATGGAACCTAAACATAGCGTTTGTGGCCAATTCTATCCGAAGGTATGGGTCTGGTGTTCGCTCGGGGATCTAACCTCTGCCGAGGAGAGAGAGGGAGGCGAGACAGAGGATCTGCAGTCTCCCTGCCAGGAGTCAATGGCCTTGTCAGAACCCTGACTTTAACTAAGGATTTGCTCATTTGGATTGGTTCAAACTAAAAACCAAAGATAAGAGTCCTAAATGAGCAATCTTTTTCTAGTTTTGCAGTAGGCAAGGCGCTGCCCTGGGCTGACCTCCCACTTCGAGCCATTGCAGTAATTAGTGAACCGGCAGACAAAGGTCTGAAACACTCCCTGTGCAAATCTAGTAAAGGGAAAATCCCACCCTCTATCCTGGCATCCACAGCCTCACGTTTAAAAATACTAACAATTACAGGGGCACCTGGGTGGCTCAGTCGGTTAAGTGTCCGACTCTTGATCTCAGCTCAGGTCTTGATCTCAGGGTCGTGAGTTTAAGCCCCACGCCGGGCTCCATGCTGGGCACGGAGCCTCCTTTAAAAAAAAAAAAAAAAAGAAGAAGAAACAATTTACACTTATAATGCCACCTCCTGTAGACGTAGGGGAAATGCAAATCAAAACCGAGGCCAAATGCCATGGCCCGCCCACCAGGATGGCTAGAACCTGCAAGATCAAGGGTAACAAGTACCGGCAAGGCCACGGAGAATCCAGAAGCCCCACGCGCTGTGAGTGGGGATGCGCGATGGGGTGGCCACACTGGAGATCAGTCTGGCGGTTTCTCAAAAGGTTAAACATGGCCTTAGCACACGGCCCCGAGCTTCCACTCCCAGCTGCCTGCCCAAGAGGACTGAACACGAGTCCACTCAAAATCCTGCACGCACAGGTTCCTAAAACACCATTAGGCACAATAACCAAAAAACGGAAGCAGCACCAATGTCCTTCCCCTGATGAGCGGGTAGATAAAATGGGGTCTAGCCATCCAACAGAGCGTTCTTTGTTAAAAAGGAACAGAGCACTGTCACACTGATGAACCTCAAGAACCTCCTACTACAGGAAAGCAGCAGACACAAAAGGCCACACACTGCACACTTCCATGTACGCAAAGTGTCCAGAATAGGGGGGGCTGGGGTACACGGCAAGGGGACGGAGAGGGGTAGATGGCTGAGGGGAGGGATGGTTTCTTTCTGGGGTGAGGAAAACATTCGAAATCTGGACTGTGGTGCTGGGTGCACCTGTTTGCGAAGGGACTCACAACCACAGAAGCGTGCACTTTGGATGGGTGTAGGGGACAGTGCACTAAGTCATACCTCAATAAAGCGGTTATTTAAAAAAAGCCGCCTCGTGAAACTGAAGTGTCGTCTATTCAACATTAACGCACCTAAACCTTCTCTCCTCAAATCTGTAACGCAGGTGGGCGGGGCCGCCAGTGTCCCACTCACTCCTCCAAGCAACGGTCAGCTCACTGCATCGAGGAATTAACAGTTAAATATTTTTAGGGGGCGTAGGATACTGTGGTTATTCCTTAAAAGAGCTGCCTTTTGGGGCGCCTGGGTGGCTCACTCGGTTGGGGGTCTGCCTTCGGCTCAGGTCATGATCCTGGAGTCCAGTCTGCTTCTCCCTCTCCCTCTGCTTCTCCCCTGCTCATGCTCGCTCTCACTCGCTCGCTCACTCTCTCAAATAATAAAATCTTTAAAAATAAAAGAGCTGCTGTCTTTTAGCAACGCATACTGAAATATATATCAGTGCAATTTCGTCCTCTGTCAAGTGCAGGGTCTGCTTCAAAATCACTGGGGGTGGAGGGGACGGAGGTATGAACTGGCCACATGTGGGAACTGGTGAAGTCGGGCAGTGGCCACACGGAGGGGTCTGTTAGGCTGGTCTCTTTTCTTCTGTAGGTTTGTGATCCTCTCTTAATCATTTCTTAAAATATGTTAAACGAAATAAAACGCCTGTCCGCTGTAGCTCGGTGCTACATTGGACAATCAGACACTAACTTTCAAAGCTCCCAGCCTCTTCCAGTGCTTGTCAGTGGCCACCTTTCTGGACACATCTTCCCGGCGAGCCCCACGAGCCACAAGCCAGCCCCCGCAGAGCAAGGTGAGGCCCCATACCCTGTGCACCGAGACCAAGTCAAATCAGAAGGAGGGGTCCGTTTCCAGGGCTGCTGCCCGCCCACAGCAAGCCTGCCCTTGCATTCCTGGGCATTCACAACATGGGATTATCTACCCGACCCACCCCCACCCAGTGACACCTAGAATAACAACAACAAAGGCTCTCTGTCGGATCACAGCACCCCTGACCTACCACACCCCAGCAGGAACTGCTGTCTCGGTTCCGGACGCAGGGCCCACCCTCACCTTTCACCCAGGTGGGTGCGGGTGAACCTGCCTGCCTGCCCCGCCTCCCCCACCTCCGAGTCTCCCCAAAAGGACAGCCAGAGTAACTGATGAAGACACACAGCGACCATCGCCACTGCCC